GATTACATTTTTCAAGAATATCATCAGTAACTATATACGTAACAATTACATTATCACTTGAGTTGATAGTAACTTGTTGTCTCTAAAAATTATCACGCGAGATAGTTTGCTCGAAAGTGCAAATTGCCAGCAAGTTTTCCTGATTTTTTCCCTATAATATTAGAATAGTACGTAATTTAAATGCATGGCTGGTAGTTTTCAGAAAATTTTCGTGGCGCCGGCTTTTGCATATATATATCAATTGAGAATAGAACTAGGAAGTGTACTATAAAATTTTGTGTCAAATAAAAAAAATCTCGGGCCGCCAAATTTCGTTTTAGATTCGTGGTCTGAAAAAAAAAAATTGGGACGAGTGTGCCAGCCATAAAATAAAATAAAGAAGTTGGACGAGAGTGGCATTGGAAGTTTTTGGGTGATACACGTGCAATAATTCACTATTATAATTCTTGTTTTGTACGGAAATGTTTGTAGTTTCCCGCATCTAGCGATATAAGCGATTTATCAGTATTATTACGAGGAAGATTTCTGTTTGTTTTAGCTCGTGAATTATGGGTTGCCTGCATTTCCAAAAATATATATTTTTTGTTTCTTTTTCGTTTTTGTCATGGTTCACTTTTTCATCTATTTTAATGCTTTTACTTGTACATTATTGATGAAATAATGCCCTAGGGCATTAAGAATATTTACCATAGTAACTTCAACAGAGAACGCCATCGGCTGGACACCAACTATTATTTAATGTATTGCTGGTTGCGTAGATACGGCGACAGCGTTAATTTATATTTTTGAAATCACGACCTCTCGTAATAGGCAAAATCCGGAAAATCCAAACAATACGAAAACTTCGAAAAACCTCAAAAATCCGGGACATTCGAAAAATCCCAAAAATCCCAAAATTCGAAAAAGAAATTGCAAGAAACTCAAGACACTCAAGAAAAGCAATAATCCAAAAAACCGAAATTTTCCAAAACATTTAAAAAAAATCCAAAAAATCGAACAATAGAAACCTAAGAAATTCAAAAATCTCAAAAACCCAATATTTATAAAAAAAAAACAAAAAGTCGAAAATACCCCAAAAATCTAAAAAAAACCCGAAAATAAAAAAATTATTCAAAAACCAAAAAAAGCAAACAAATCCAAAAAATATCCAAAAAACAAAAAACCTAAAAGAATCTAGAGAATACAAAGAATCCAAAGAATCCAAGGAATCCAAAGAGTTCAAAGAATCCGAAAAATCCAAAGGACCCAGAGAATCCAGAGGATTTAGAGAATCCAGAGAATCCAAAGAATCCAGAAAATCCAGAGAATCCAGAGAATATAAAGAATCCTGAGAATCCAAAGAGTCTAAAAAGTCCAAAAAATCCAAAGTTTCCAAGGAATCCAAAGAATCCACAGAACCCAAAAAATAAAAAAAAGCAATTGAGCGAAGAATTCCAAAAAAAACCGCAAGAAACCCAAGAAATTCAATAAATCCAATAATCCAAAAAATTGAAAATTTCCAAAAAATTAAGAAAAATCTACATCGTTCAAGAAATCCCAAAAATTCAAAAAACTAAAAAGTGCCATTATATGTATTAATAATATAAAAAATCGAAAATATCCCAGGGGTCTAAAAAATCTAAAAAGTCATGATAATAAAATAACCAAAAATCGAAAATTACAAAAAATTCGAAAAATCCGATAAATCCAAAAAAGGAAACGCAAGAAACTCAAGAAACTCAAGAACTCTGATAATTTAAAAAGTCGAAATTTTTCCAAAAATCCTAAAACATCAAAAATTAAAAAAAAAGAAATCATCCAAAAACATCGAACACCTACGTATACCCAAGAAATCTAAAAAATTAAAAAATTCAAAGAATCCAAGGGATTGAAGGAATCCAAGAATTCCAAAGAATCCAAAGAATGGAAAGAATCCAAAGAAGGCAAAGAAAAATTCGAGAAATGCGAGAAATTTGAGAAGTCCGAGAATCCGAGAATTTCAAACAATCCAAAAAATCTAAAAAGGACAGAATTCCAAAATTCAAGAAATCCAATAATCCAAAAAATTAAAAATTTCCAAAAAATTAGAAAAATCTACATCGTTCAAGAAATCCAAAAAATTGAAAAAACTAAAAAATGCAATAATATTAAAAATCTAAAAAATCGAAAATATCCCAAAGGTGCAAAAAACCTAAAAAGTCATGATAATAAAATAACCAAAAAAATTGAAAAATTCAAAAAATCCGAAAAATCTGATAAATCCGAAAAAGGAAATGCAAGAAACTCAAGAAACCCAAAAACTCTCATAATCCAAAAAGTTGAAATTTTCCCAAAAATTAAAAAACATCAAAAATTAAAAAAAAATAAAAATTATCAAAAAAATCGAAAAAGGAATGAATCCAAAAAATTTACATAAACACAAAAAATATAAAATATCCTAACAATCCAAAAAATTCAAAAATCCCAAACACCGAAAAAATCCAGAAAACTTTAAAACTAATAATTTAAGAATTCCAAAAATCAAAAAATCCAAAAAAATCGAAACGTACGTATAACCAAAAAATCCAAAAAATGAACAAAAAACGGAAAAACGGGAAATTTGAAAAATTCAAAATTCGAAAAAATTCAAAGAATCGAAAGAATCCAAAAAATGAAAAAATCCAAAGAATCCAAAGAATCTAAAGAATCGAAGGAATCCAAGGAGTCCAAAGAGTCCAGAAGACAAAAGAGTCCAAAGAATTCAAGGAATCCGAAGAATCCAAGGAATTCAAAGAATCTAAAGAAGTCAAAGAATTCAATGAATCCAAAGAACCCAAACACCAAAAGAATAAAAAGAATCCAAAGAATGCAAAGAAAAATTCGAAAAATGTGAGAAATTCGAGAAGTCTGAGAAATCCGAGGATTTAAAACAATCCAAAAAATCTAAAAAGGAAAGAATTCCAAAACTCAAGATATCCTATGAACCAAAAATTTTTATAAAAAAATTTAAAAAGTACAATAAATCAAAGAAATTAAAATACAAAAAATCCGTAAGATCCAAGGAATTCAAAAAATGAAAAAAAAACGGGAAAACAGAAAACGTAAAAAAACAAAAATCGAAAAAATGCAAAGAAACCAAAGAATCCAAAAAATCCAAAGAAACCAAAGAATCCAAAGAATCCAAAGAATCCAAAGAATCCAAAGAATCCAAAGAATCCAAAGAATCTAAAGAATCCAAAGAATTCAAGAAATCCAAGGAATCCAAGGATTTCAAAGGATCCAAGGAATCGAATGAAGTCAAGGAATCCAAAAAATCCAAAAACTAAACAATTAAAAAGCAAATCTAAACAATCCAAGAAATTCGCGAATCCAAAAAATGGAAAATACCAATAAATTAAAAAAAAATCAAAGAATTTAAAAATCTAAAAGATATTTTTCAAGAAATCCAAGAAACATAATAAATTCAAAAAATGCAATAACACTAAAAATTTTAAAATCGGTATCCCAAAAATCAAAAAATCCAAAAAAGAGGAAAAAAAGCGAGAAAATAAAATTGTCAAAAAAATCCAAACAGTCCGAAAAAAACGAAAAATTCGGAAAAAAAATTGCAAGAAACTCAAGAAGCTAAAGAAATCCGATGATCTAAGAAATTGAAATTTTCCAAAAAATAAATAAAAAAATCAGAAAATCTAAAAATTCGAAGAAAACGAAGAAACTGAGCAAACTCAACGATTAATACAATAATTCCAAAAATCCATAAAGTCGAAAATACCCAAAAATTTTCAAAATATCAAAAAAAATCAAAGAATCCAAATAACCAAAAAAATTCGAAAAACTCCAAAAAACTGAGGAATCCAGAGAATCCAAAAAATCTGAAAAATCCGACAAGTCCAAAACTACCGAGAAACCTAGAAAATTCGAAAATCCCAAAACCAAAGAAGTCCAGAAATTCAAGAAATTCAATAATCCAAAAAATCGAAATTTTCCAAAAAATAAAAAGACACAATTTAAAAAATTCTAAAATTCTAAAAATTCCAGAAAACATCCCAAGAAACTGAAAAACCTCAAAGAATCCAACAATTCCCAAAATTAAAAAGTCCAAAATATCCCAAAAATATCCAAAAAAATAAGAGAAAAAAAAATGCAAAAAATTAATAAATGCAAAAAATATCAAAAAACAAATATCTAAAAAATTCCAAGAATCCAAAAAATTCAAAAAAACCGAAAAACGAAGATTTCCAGGAAACCCAAGAACCTCAAAAAATCCAGTAATTCCAGAAATTCAAAAAATTGAAGAAGTATATCGAAGAAATCCAAAAATGAAAAAAAAACAAATTCTGGAAAATTCGAAATTTCCAAAAATTCAAAGTCTGAAGAATCCGAAGAATCCAAAGAATCCGAAAAATCTGAAGAAACCGAAGAATCCCAACAATCCAAAGTTTCTAAAGAATCTAAAGAATCCAAGGAATACAAAAAATCCAAAGAATTCAAGTTATCCAAAGGATCCAGATAATCCAAAAAATCCGAAAATAACGAAAACTCCGAGAAATCCAAAGAAACCAAAAAATTCAAAAACCTCAAAACCAAAGAATTACAGAAATTTAAGAAATCTAATAATCCAAAAAAACGAAAATTTCCAAAATAATTAAAAAATACAAAAAATCAAGGAATTTTCCAAATATTCAAAAAATCGATAATATCCAAAAAATCAAGTAAAATGAAAAAACCAAAAATTCCAAAAACATAAAATTTTGTATGTACCACAGGCATTATTTGAAATTTATACTACTTCATAAACTCTGATACATAAATAACCATTGAATACACTGGGTGTTTCCATTATGTCTGTAACATATTAGCCATATTTGTTACCTAAATATGTTGGAATTGTATGTCGTTCAAAAGGTTTTGCCACTCTATACCACATTTTGATTTTTTTTTTTTCTGTAGATCAATGAATCAAGAAATTTCATTTCTACAGAGTGACAGATATCTACAGTATTAATTTTATCCAACTTTCGTAAAAACATAAAACACTATACATCTTTTAAACATTTATTTTTTTAATTATGTTTTTACAAGTAGATTTTATTTATAAGATTCATAACAGTAAATACAAAACATTTAACACTTAATTAATTTTACTACAAAGCAAAGATATTATAAACACTCCACACAAAAGTCGTCAAACCTCCTCCAACAAATGCTCCTCCTGCTCTTGTTTCCGTACTATACTGTGTACAGTCTTCACCGGCACCCTCTTCACTTCCTTCTCCTTCTTCTTCCCAATATAAACCACATTATTCCTGAAATACTCCTCAATCTCCGAAAGCTTCTTCTCTTGCGTCTCCGGCGAAAAGACATACACATACACCGCGCCCACCAAAGTAACACCACCAAAGAAGTACTGCACACCAGAAATCCCACCAAACAGGTCAAACATGACTGGATACAGCTGCAAAGAAAGAAACATGACGAAACTAGCAATACAAATGGAGACACTATGGGCCACCCCCCGAATTTCCAGAGGAAATAACTCAGCAGTCATGGTATAGGGAATCGGTATGACGCCTATCATGGACGCGACCACGAACATCAACAGACACACCACCGGAATCCAGGTCATCGTAGTGGTACCAGTTTTGATCCAGTGGGCGAAGAGCCCAGAAAGAACAATAAACAAAGACATCCCGAAGCAACTAATCAGAAGAAGAGATCGTCTGCCATAGGCCCTCTGGACGTACGTGTTGATCATCGACATGATAAAACGAACAACTCCGATGAAAATAGAAGTCAGATATGGGTTAGACGTGGAACCCACTTCTTGGAAGAACGAAATCGAAAAGAACAAGAAGATAAAAATTCCAGAAAACTGCTGAAACATGAACATCCCAGTCAGAATAATCAAGGGTTTGTAGCCTGTAGGTTTCATAAATTCGTAAAACTTGGCCTTTATTTCGTTCCCCGTTCTTCTACTGTCTTCAATCAGCTTCAACTCGTGCTCTTTCTGAAGCAGGGTCAACTGCAACTCGGAATACGTCTGGGTTTTGTTTTCTGGTTGTGGTTGGTACTTGTTGATCCACATCAAAGACTTCTTCGCTTCCTCGATTTTGTCTTTGGAGACCAACCAAGCCGGGCTTTCTGGTATAAAAAAGACCAGAAAACACGGGATTAGAGTGAAGATGGTACTCAACCAAGCGACTTGTCTCCAGTTCATGAACCAACCCATAATAAACGTTAGTACCATCCCTGGAACAAAAGTTAGGTGCGATTGGTGAGTGTGGTGGTCGTACCTAGAGAAGTTAGAGCCGGGGCGAGGGATATCAAAGAGCCTCGCATGTCTTTTCTGGCGATTTCGGTGAGGTAGACGATGGCGGGGCTGGAACCTAGAGCTGACGATAGTCCGACTAGAGCTCTTCCGGTTATTAGCATTGGGACGTTTTGGGATAGAGCCATGAGGACGCAACCACCGAGTCCTGGGATTGCGGCTAGAGTAAGGGTTCGGAGGCGCCCGAAGTAGTCCATCAGGACACCCACCATGAGACTACCAGCTGGGTTAGTTAGAGCGACTATGCTAGCTAGAACGGGATTTATAAAAGCGACAGTGACTCAAACGGGATTAGTACCTATCCACGAAGCGTCGCTTTTGGTGACTTCGAAGTCCGCATTTTCCTCCAACTGGGGGAGGAGGATGGCCGAAAAAGCTAGAGAGATTCCTATGGAAACATGGTACGACGTGACTAAAATGGCAGCTATTATCTACAACTACAAGTTAGTAGGTACTGTTGTGGTACTGGGTTATAATTTACTTGGGGTGTAAGGTTTTTGAGATTTCTTTGCTCGTAGTTGCTTATAGAAACGGTACTACCCAGGATTTGTGAATATTTATCATGGGTGGTCTTCTGGGCGAGGACGCGACTTGACAATTGGGAGCTAAATTCACATATGTTGGTGATAAGATTAAACAATCGAGTGAAGTTGTATCCAGTGGGCGAAGACCCCAGAAAGAACGATAAAAAAACACATCCCGAATTTCGTTTTAGACTCGCGCTCTGAAAAAAAAAAAATTGGGACGAGTGTGCCAGCCATAAAATAAAATAAAGAAGTTGGAGGAGAGTGGCATTGGTGCTGGAAGTTTTTGGGTGATACACGTGCAATAATTCACTATTATAATTCTTGTTTTGTACGGAAATGTTTGTAGTTTGCCACATCTAGCGATCTAAGTGAAATTTATCAGTATTACTACAAGGAAGGGTATTCTGTCTGTGTTGTTCGTGAATTATGAGTTGCCTGTATTTCCAAAAATATATATTTTTTGTTTCTTTTTCGTTTTTGGCATGATTCACTTTTGCTACTATTTTAATGCTTTTATTTGCACATTATTGATGAAATAATGCCCTAGGGCATTAAGAATATTTACCATAGTAACTTCCACAAAAAACGCAATGGGCTGGACACCAACTATTATTTATTGTATTGCTGGTTGTGTAGATCCGGCGACAGCGTTAATTTATGTTTTTGAAATCACGACCTCTGGTAATAGGCAAAATCCAGAAAATCCAAACAATACGAAAACTTCGAAAAATCCCAAAAGTCCCAAAATTCAAAAAAGAAATTGCAAGAAACTCAAGACACTCAAGAAATCCAATAATCCAAAAAACCGAAATTTTCCAAAAAATCTAAAAAAATCCAAAAAAATCGAATAATAGAAAACTAAAAAATTAAAAAATCTCAAGAAACCCAATATTTATAAAAAAACAAAAAGTCGAAAATACCCCAAAAATCCGAAAAAACCCGAAAATAAAAAAAAATTATTCAAAAATCGAAAAAAAACAAACAAATCCAAAAATATCCAAAAAACAAAAAATCTAAAAGAATCTAGAAGAATCCAAAGGATCCAGAGAATCCAGAGGATTCAGAGAATCCAGAGAATCCAAAGAATCCAGAAAATCCAGAGAATCTAGAGAATATAAAGAATCCTGAGAATCCTGAGAATCCAAAGAATCAAAAGAGTCTAAAGAGTCCAAAGAGTCCAAAAGAATCCAACGAATATAAGAAATCCAAACAGTCCAAAGAATCCAAAGAGTTCAAAAAATCCGAAGATTCCAAAGAATCCACAGAATCCAAAAAATAAAAAAAGCAAAAAAGCAAAGAATTCCAAAAAGGGTACAAGAAACCCAAGAAATTCAAGAAATTTCCAAAAAATTAAAAAAATCTGTATCGTCCAAGAAATCCAAAAAATTGAAAAAACTAAAAAATGCAATAATATTAAAAAACTAAAAAATCGAAAATATCCCAAAAGTCCAAAAATCTAAAAATTCATGATAATAAAATAACCAAAAAAAAATGAAAAATCCAAAAAATCCGAAAAATCCAATCAATCCGAAAAAGGAAGTAAGAAACTCAAGAAACTCAAGAATTCAATAAGCCGAGATTTTCCCAAAAATCCAAAAACATCGAAAATTAAAAAAAGAAATCATCCAAAAAAATCGAAAAAGGAATGTATCCCAAAAATTTACATAAACACAAAAATATAAAATATCCTAACAATCCAAAAAAAAAAAAATCAAAAATCCAAAGAATCCAAATTATCGAAGGAATCCAAGGAGTCCAAAGAATCCGAAGAATGGAAAAAGTCCAAAGAGTACAGAGGACAAAAGAGTCCAAAGAATTCAAGGAATCCGAAGAATCCGAAGAATCCGAAGAATCCAGAGAATCCAGAGAATCCAAGAAATCCAAGGAATTCAAGGAATCCAAGGAATTCAAGGAGCCCAAAGAATCCAAAGAAACCAGAGAAACCAGAAAATCCAGGGAGTCCAAAGAATCCAAGGAATCCAAGGAGTCCAAGGGGTCCAAAGAATCCAAAGAATCCAAAAAAGTCAAAAAATCCAAAGAATCTAAAGAACCCAAAGAACCAAAAGAATAAAAATAATCCAAATAATGCAAATCAAAATTCGAGAAATACAAAAAACCGAGATTTTCCAAAAAATCTAAAAAAATCCAAAATATCGAATAATAGAAACCTAACAAATTAAAAAATCTCAAGAAACCCAATATTTATAAAAAACCAAGAAGTCGAAAATACCCCAAAAATCCAAAAAAAAACCGAAAATAAAAAAATTATTCCAAAATCGAAAAAAAAAGCAAAGAAATCCAAAAAATTTCCAGAAAACAAAAAATCTAAAAGAATCTAGATAATCCAAAAAATCCAAAGAGACCAAAACATCCAAAGAAACCAAAGAATCCAAAGAATCCGAAGCATCCAAAAAATTCGAAGAATCCGAAAAATCCAAAGGATCCAGAGAATCCAGAACATCCAAAGAATCCAGAGAATATAAAGAATCCTGAGAATCCTGAGAATATAAAGAATCCTGAGAATCCTGAGAATCAAAAGAGTCTAAAAAGTCCAAAGAGTCCGAAAGAATGCAACGAATATAAGGAATCCAAAGAATCCAAAGAGTTCATAAAATCCGAAGATTCCAAAGAATCCACAGAATCCAAAAAATAAAAAATAGAAAAAAGCAAAGAATTCCAAAAAGAAGGCAAGAAACCCAAGAAATTCAAGAAATCCAATAATTCAAAAAATTGAAAATTTCCAAAAAATTAAAAAAATTTGCATCGTTCAAGAAATCCAAAAAATTCAAAAACTAAAAATGCAATAACACGAAAAACATAAAAAATCGAAAATATCCCAAAGGTCCGAAAAATCTAAAAAGTCATGATAATAAAATAACCAAAAAAAAATTGAAATATCCAAAAAATCCGAAAAATCCAATAAATCCGAAAAAGGAAGTGCAAGAAACTAAAGAAACTCAAGAATTCAATAAGCCGAGATTTTCCCAAAAATCCAAAAACATCGAAAATTAAAAAAAGAAATCATCCAAAAAATCGAAAAAGAAATGAATCCAAAAAATTTACAAAAACACAAAAAATATAAAATATCCTTACAATCCAAAAAAATTCAAAAAACCCAAGCACCGAAAAAATCCAAAAAACTTTAAAACTAATAATTTAAGAATTCCAAAAATCAAAAAATCCAAAAAAATCGAAACGTACGTATATCCAAAAAATCCAAAAAATGAACAAAAAACGGGAAAACGGGAAATCTGAAAAATTCAAAATTCGAAAAAATTGAAAGAATCGAGAGAATCCAAAGAATGGAAAGAGTCTAAAGAATCCAAAGAATCCAAAGAATGGAAAGAGTCCAAAGAGTCCAGAGGACAAAAGACTCCAAAGAATTTAAGGAATCCGAAGAATCCGAAGAATCCAGAGAATCCAGAGAATCCAAGAAGTCCAAGGAATCCAAGGAATCCAAGGAATCTAAGGAATCCAAGGAATCCAAGGAGTCCAAAAAATCCAAAGAATCCAAAGAATCCAAAGAATCCAAAGAATCCAAAGAATCCAAAAAATCCAAAGAATCCAAAGAATCCAAAGAATCCAAAGAATCCAAAAAATCCAAAGAATCCAAAGAATCCAAAGAATCCAAAGAATCCAAAAAATCCAAAGAATCCAAAGAATCCAGAGAATCAAAAGGATCCAAAGAATCCAGAGAATCCAGAGAATCAAAAGAATCCAAAGAATTTAAAGAATCCAAAGAATTCAAGAAATCCAAGGAATCCAAGGATTCCAAAGGATCCAAGAAATCCAAGGAATCCAAAAAATCCAAAAAATAAAAAATTAAAAAGCAAATCTAAACAATTCAAGAAATTCGCGAATCCAAAAAATGGAAAATTCCAAAAAATTAAAAAAAAATCAAAGAGTTTAAAAATCAAACAGATATTTTTCAAGAAATCCAAGAAATATAATAAATTCAAAAAATGCAATAATACTAAAAATTTTAAAATCGGTATCTCAAAAATCTAAAAAATCCAAAAAAGTGGAAAAAAAGCAAGAAAATAAAATTATCAAAAAAATCCAAACAATCCGAAAAATTAAAAAGTCCGAAAAACCCGAAAAATTCGGAGAAGAAATTGCAAGAAACTCAAGAAACTAAAGAAGTCCGATGATCCTAGAAATTCAAATTTTCCAAAAAATCAATAAAAAAATCAGAAAATCTAAAAATTCGAAGAAAACTAAGAAACTGAGCAAACTCAACGATTAATATAATAATTTCAAAAATCCAAAAAGTCGAAAATGCCCAAAAATTTCCAAAATATCAAAAAAAAATCAAAGAACAAAAAATATATAAAAAATCGAAAAAATTCGTAAGTCCAAAAGTAGGTACCCAAGAAACAAACAATAAAAAAAAATTAAAAAACCCAAAAAATCGAAGTAATCCAAAAAACTTAAAAACTCAAGATATCCAATAATTTCAAAAATACAAAAAAAAAACAGAAAATGTGTAAAATCCAGAAATAAAAAAAAATCAAAAATTCCAATCAGTACTAAGAATCCGAAGACTATAAAGATTCTAAATACTCCAAAATATCAAAAGAATTCAAAGTATCCAAATAATTCAAATAATCCGAAAAATCCGAAAAATTCCAAAAAATCTGAGAAATCCAAAACTACCCAAAAACCTAGAAAATTAAAAAATCCCAAAACCAAAGAAGTCCAGAAATTCAAGAAATTCAGTAATCCAAACTATCGAAATTTTCCAAAAAATAAAAAACCAAGTTTAAAAAATTCAAAAATTCTAAAAATTCCAGAAAATAACCCAAAAAACTGAAAAACTTCAACAAAACATCAAAAAAATCTGAAAAATTAATAAATGCAAAAAATATCGAAATACAAAAAATCTAAAAAATTCCAAAAATCCAAAAAATTCAATAAACCTAAAAACGAAGATTTCCAAAAAACCCAAGAACCTCAAAAAATTCAGAAGTATATCCAAGGAATCCAAAATGAAAAAAAAAATATCTGAAAAATTCAAAATTTCGGAGAATCCAAAAAATCTGAAGAATCCGAAGAATCCGAAAAATCTGAAGAATCCAAGTTTCCAAGGAATCCAGATAATCCGAAAAAACCGAAAACTCCGAGAAATCCAAAGAAACCAAAAAATTCAAAAATCTCAAAACCAAAGAATTCCAGAAATTCAAGAAATCCAATAATCTAAAAAAACGAAAATTTCTAAAATAAATAAAAAATACAAAAAATCAAGGAATTTTCCAAAAATTCAAAAAATCGAAAATATCCAAAAAATCAAATAAAATGAAAAAACCAAAAATTCCCAAAAAGTCCAAATATCCTAAAAGTCCTAAATAATCGAAAAAATTAAAACAAAATTAAAATTAAATCCACAGGTATTATTTGAAATTTATACTATTGTATGTCGTTTCAAAAGGTTTTAGCCACTCTATACCAATTTTGAATTTTTTTTCTTTGCTGTAGATCAATGAATAAAAAAATTTTCATTTCTGCAGATATCTACAGTATTAATTTTATCGAACTTTCGTAAAAACATAAAACACTATACATCTTTTAAAAATTTATTTTTTTAATTATTTTTTTACAAGTGGATTTTATTTATAAGATTCATAACAGTAAACACAAAACATTTAACACTTAATTAATTTTCTTACAAAGCTCTTGAACATACAATATTATAAACACTCCACATAAAGAAGCGTCAAACCTCCTCCAACAAATGCTCTTCGTGTTCTTGTTTCCGTACTATACTGTGTACAGTCTTCACCGGCACCCTCTTCACTTCCTTCTCCTTCTTCTTCCCAATATAAACCACATTATTCCTGAAATACTCCTCAATCTCCGACAGCTTCTTCTCTTGAGTCTCCGGCGAAAAGACATACACATACACCGCCCCCACCAAAGTAACACCACCAAAGAAGTACTGCACACCAGAAATCCCACCAAACAGGTCAAACATGACTGGATACAGCTGCAAAGAAAGAAACATGACGAAACTAGCAATACAAATGGAGACACTATGGGCCACCCCCCGAATTTCCAGAGGAAATAACTCAGCAGTCATGGTATAGGGAATCGGTATGACGCCTATCATGGACGCGACCACGAACATCAACAGACACACCACCGGAATCCAGGTCATCGTAGTGGTACCAGTTTTGATCCAGTGGGCGAAGAGCCCAGAAAGAACAATAAACAAAGACATCCCGAAGCAACTAATCAGAAGAAGAGATCGTCTGCCATAGGCCCTCTGGACGTACGTGTTGATCATCGACATGATAAAACGAACAACTCCGATGAAAATAGAAGTCAGATATGGGTTAGACGTGGAACCCACTTCTTGGAAGAACGAAATCGAAAAGAACAAGAAGATAAAAATTCCAGAAAACTGCTGAAACATGAACATCCCAGTCAGAATAATCAAGGGTTTGTAGCCTGTAGGTTTCAGAAATTCGTAAAACTTGGCCTTTATTTCGTTCCCCGTTCTTCTACTGTCTTCAATCAGCTTCAACTCGTGCTCTTTCTGAAGCAGGGTCAACTGCAACTCGGAATACGTCTGGGTTTTGTTTTCTGGTTGTGGTTGGTACTTGTTGATCCACATCAAAGACTTCTTCGCTTCCTCGATTTTGTCTTTGGAGACCAACCAAGCCGGGCTTTCTGGTATAAAAAAGACCAGAAAACACGGGACTAGAGTGAAGATGGTACTCAACCAAGCGACTTGTCTCCAGTTCATGAACCAACCCATAATAAACGTTAGTACCATCCCTGGAACAAAAGTTAGGTGCGATTGGTGAGTGTGGTGGTCGTACCTAGAGAAGTGAGAGCCGGGGCGAGGGATATCAAAGAGCCTCGCATGTCTTTTCTGGCGATTTCGGTGAGGTAGACGATGGCGGGGCTGGAACCTAGAGCTGACGATAGTCCGACTAGAGCTCTTCCGGTTATTAGCATTGAGACGTTTTGGGATAGAGCCATGAGGACGCAACCACCGAGTCCTGGGATTGCGGCTAGAGTAAGGGTTCGGAGGCGCCCGAAGTAGTCCATCAGGACACCCACCATGAGACTACCAGCTGGGTTAGTTAGAGCGACTATGCTAGCTAGAACGGGATTTATAAAAGCGACAGTGACTCAAACGGGATTAGTACCTATCCACGAAGCGTCGCTTTTGGTGACTTCGAAGTCCGCATTTTCCTCCAACTGGGGGAGGAGGATGGCCGAAAAAGCTAAAGAGATTCCTATGGAAACATGGTACGACGTGACCAAAATAGCAGCTATTATCTACAACTACAAGTTAGTACTGTGGTGGTACTGGTTTATAATTTACTTGTGGTGTAAGGTTTTTGAGATTTCTTTGCTCGTAGTTGCTTATGGAAACGGTACTACCCAGGATTTGTGAATATTTATCATGGGTGGTCTTCTGGGCGAGGACGCGACTTGACAACTGGGAGCTAAATTCACACTTGTTGGTGATAAGATTACAATCGAGTGAAGTTGTACTTACCTTAAACTGAAGCAACTGGCACTAAAATAATTGTACAAACAACATTAGTGGGGGTTGAAAGTCAATGTAGTACCTACCTTAAAGGGTCCATTTTGGTGCAATCTTTCCACTAGATGATCACTCAACACCGCTTTATTTACAAATGAACAACGACGTCAATCAAGTACCGAATTGATAAATCGCGAGTGGTACTCACAATTTTCATTGTCATTGAAATAATAACCAGATTTCAAATGAAACGAGATAAATCTAAACACCATTTATTAATTTATCAGCTTCATTTCTACTGCTACTGTTTTTACTAACATCACGGGTTCTCTTCGTGCTCCAAAGATATATCGTGTTGGAATTAAAATAGTCCTCGATTTCTGACAACTTCTTTTTGTGTGTTTCGGGCAAAACCACGAAAATGTAGACGACTGTGACCAACGAAACCACTGAAAAGAACCACTGGATTCCTGCGGAACCACCTAGCAGTCGTTCCAAGTTGATGTAGTTCTGTACCGCTACAAACATAATCAAGTTGACTATGCTAGTAGAGATACTGTGGGCCATGCTTCTGATCTTCAATGGAAATAGTTCCGCCGTCATGGTCCATGGTATTGTCAATAAACCAATCATTGACGAAACCACGTACAAGAGGAGGAAGATCACGGGTACCCATTTGGCTTCAGTGGTACCATTCTTGATCCAGTGGGTGAACAACCCCGAAATCAAGGTACACACGAACATCCCGAACGCACTGATCATGATCAACTTCCTTCGACTGAAGTACTTTAACAACCAAGTGTTCATAATCGAGAGGATCAACCGGATGACTCCTATCCAAATCGACGCGACGTACGGATTGATATCGCTACCAACCGCTTCGAAGAAAGTAACTGAGTAGAACAAGAAAATGTAGATACCGGAGAACTGTTGGAAGAAGAAAACCCCAGAGATGATTAGTAGGGGTTTATAGCCCGTGGGTTTGAGGAACTCTTTGACCATATTGCCACCACTAGTTTGAGCTTCAATTTTCTTCTGGGTGTCCTCTTTAACTAGGAGGTTGAGGTACATTTCTGCGAAGGTTTTATTGTCTTGGGGGTCCGGTTTGGGTTGGTGTTTGTGTAACCAGTGGAGGGCTTTCCCGGCTTCTTCGGGACGTCCTTTGGACACTAGCCAGGAAGGGCTTTCTGGAAGAAGGAATAGAAGGAAGAAGGGGATGATTAGGTAGACGTTGCACAACCAAGCGATGGTTCGCCAATCCATGAGCCACCCTTTGAGATACGTGATGACCAAACCCAAAGACACGAACGCGGGGCCTATGACTAAAAGAGAGCCTCGCATGTCTTTTCGGGCTATTTCTGTGATGTAAACAATCGCGGGGCTTGTGGATAGTGCTAGAACCAGAAATTGAGTAACAATTTTGGGGTTAAGGTCACCTACTTGTGGCTATTCCTGTAAGAATTCGTCCTGCGATCAACATGGGTATATTTTGGGCCACAGCCATCAGCACCCAACCCAGGATACCAGGAACTATCGATATTTTTAAAGTGTTGATTCTTCCAATCCGGTCCATCACGAAACCACTCATCATGGACCCGATGGGTGCCACTAAAGCTACGACGCTAGCAATCCATGATAGGTTGTCTTTAGTGACAGGAATATCACTACCTGGACCCTCCAGCTGCGGGATTAATATAGCAGAGTACGCCAGACCTATTCCCACCACTATATGGTTCGAAGTCACTATTAGCGTCGCTGTAATCTAGACAACCGTTAACCAAAAACCACGTTTAAGCACAGCCTACCTGGGGTAGAAGATTTTTCAAGCTTTTTTCTTCAAACCGGCTCAACGACTTGGTGCTAACTGCAGCCTTGACGGCGTCGGTTTCTCCTTTGTCGTCTTCGCATGCTCTGTCTTTAAATTAATTTTTGTCCAAAACCCTATAATTCAAAACTTACCGCAAATTGTAGTTGCTAGCACTGGAAAAAAATTAGTTTGGGGGATTGATTACGTGATTGAATTACCTGATGGGGTCCATGACGCCACTAAATACACACTGATACACTGTTTGTAATCAGTTAGCACTTTTGCGACGTTTTTATCGATGGCGAGATTAGATTGACTGATTTGGGCTGGTTTTGGACAAGAGTTGGGAGGTTGTGGTCAAGGTTTAGACCTTTTGGTTCTTGGATTCTGACCATGAGGGTTTTGAAGGGTAATAATTCATGAACAACCCATGGTGGGAGTTGGTACACAATTTGGGAAAGAGTTAGACATACTAGGGCTAGGATGACATGTGGTTTTTGGTTTTACGAACTATGCGATGGCATGGTCCAAGAACATGGTTTGATAATTGAAAACTAAAATATAAAGTATTACAAAATGTGCAATGTGTGTACACAAATATGATAAAGGAAACACGTGTTGGGAAAAGTATGACATTGAAAATCACGTTCTTGATAAGATAATTTGTATCAATTAATGTGGAGCTGACTTGAGAAATTTCGAGTGGTCTAGCATTAACCTTAAACTTTGAGCAAGTGACGTCAAAAATAACAATAAAAAATTTTAACCATTTTTTTGGAAAATGTTTGAAAATTTTGAATTCACTTTTCGCCTTTATTTGAACAGGTATCGTGATGGCGATTTCACATTTATAACTGGAGAAAGATTGTCTACAATTTGACACCAATTTTCACTCGATTGACCCGATTTTAACGATTTTTTTGAAAAATTTTTGAAAATTTTGAATTCAGTTTTCGTATTTGTAAGAACAGATATCGTGGAAGCGACTTCAGATTTGTAACGAGCGGAAGATTATCTAGAATTTGACACCAATTTTCGGTCGATTGAACCTATTTTGGAAAATTTTTGGAAAATTTGGATTAACTTTTCGTGTTTATTGGAACAGATATCATGACGGCGATTTCAGATTTGTAATTAGGGGAAGATTATCTCCACTTTGACGCCAAGTTTCAGTTGATAGAACCAATTTTAAAGTTCATTAATGAAACGAAAAATTAAAATATTTAAATGTTAAAAAATCATTCAACTGAAAAGTTGAAAAACTAAATAAACCAAAATTGAGAAATTTGAAATTGCAAAACCCAAAAATTTTAAAATTATAAATGAAATAACAAGAGAAAGGAAACACTGAAAAATTGCAAAAGTTTAAAAATTTTTTAAAATATTAAATTGAAAAATTAAAATATGAATCTAAAGATTTTAAAATTTAGAAGTTGTTCCATCGAAAAGTTGAAAAAACGAAAAATGAAAATATCTAAAACTTAAAAATTCGTTGAACTGAATAATTGAAAAAACTAAAAATAAAAATATATATCAAAATTTAGAAATTTCAAATTGGAAATCAGAAAAATTTTAAAAGTATGTATAAATCAGAAAACCAAAAAAATTCGAAAGCTGATCTGATAATCAAAAAGTTGTAAAATCGAAAACTTGTAAAATATATAGTAAAATTGCAAATTAAAAATCGAGTAACCAAAATAAACCAACAATGGAATAATTGCAATATTGGAAAACAGAAAATGAAACAATTAAATATCGATAAACTGAAACATTGATGACACGAAAAACTAAAATATCAAAAAATTAAAAAATCAAAAAATTCAAAAGTTGGAAGTCAAAAATTTGATAAATCGAGAAATTACCTAAAATACCGAAAAACTGAATAAACGAAAACTAAAACATCTAAAACAGAAAATCGAAAAATTGCAAAAGTTTAAAAATTCAAGAAAATATTAAATCCAAAAATTAAGAAAAAATCTAAAGATTTTAAAATTTAGAAGTTGTTCCATGGAAGTTTTCAAAATTTAGAAATTTCAAATTGGAAATCAGAAAAATTTGAAAAATATGTATAAATCAGAAAATCAAAAAATTCGAAAGCTGATAGTGATAAGTCAAACATTTTAAATTGAAAACCTGAATAACTGATAATCAAAAAGTTATAAAATCGAAAAATTGGAAATCGAAGACTTGTAAAATATATAGTAAAATTGCAAATTAAATATCGAAAAACCAAAATAAACCACCAATGGTATACTTGCAATATTGGAAAAACAGAAAATGAAAAAATTAAATATCGAGAAAATGAAACATTGATGACACGAAAAACTAAAATATCAAAAAATTGAAAAATCAAAAATTTCGAAAGTTCAAAGTCAAAAATTTTATACTGAAACTGAAACATCTAAAACTAAAAAATCGAAAAGCTGCAAAATAGTCAAAAAACAGGAAATCGAAAAATTAAAATCGAGAAATTTTAAATTGAGTACTCGAAAAATTACAAATTAAAAACCTATAAACTAAAACATCAGGCGTTGGAATGATTGAAAAATCAAAAAATTGAAACATTCAGAAGTTGAAAAACCAAAATTTTAAACTGAAAACTCTCCAAATTCGAAAATTCAAAAGCAGAAAAATTAAGAAATTGGATATGGAAAATTGTAAAAATTATTAATAAAAGAACTAAAAAAAATCGTGACTAAAATAATTGAAAACTGAGAAAAATGGAAAAATTAAAAATCGCAAAACTGAAAAATTTCAAAAAAGAAAAACAATATCAAAAAGTTGAAAAATCAGAAGTTGTAGATCGAAAAATTGTTAATCGAAAAATTAAAAATTGAAAAACAGACAAATTAAAAAAAAAATAGCAACATATCCAAAAATTTTAAAAATTCGGAAGTCGCAAGATCAAAAAAATGTTAAACAGATGAATAAAAACAGGTATGTATTTAGAAATTCATTCGAAAAATTAATGAAACGAAAAATAAAAATATTCAAAAGCTGAAAAATCATTAAACTGACAAATTGAAAAACTAAATAAACCAAAACTGAGAAATTTGAAATTGCAAAACCCAAAAAACCAACAAAAAAATAAAAAATTCGAAAGCTGATAGTGATAGTTAAACATTTTAAATTGAAAACTCGATGATAACCAAAAAGTTATAAAATCGAAAAATTGGAAATCGAAAACTTGTAAAATATATAGTAAAATTGCAAATTAAATATCGAAAAACCAAAATAAACCAACAATGGAATAATAGCAATATTGGAAAATCAGAAAATGAGAAAATTAAATATTGAGAAACTGAAACGTTGATGACACCAAAAACTAAAAATCAAAAAATTGAAAAATCAAAAAATTCTAAAGTTACGAGTCAAAAATTTGATAAATCGAGAAATTACCTAAAATACCGAAAAACTGAATAAACGAAAACTGAAACATAAAACTAAAAAATCATAAAAATGAAAAAAAAAATTAAAAATTAAGTGATTGAACGAATGTGAAAAACAGAAAATCGAAAAATTAAAATATGTGTATGAAAATCGAGAAATTTTAAATCGAATATTCCAAAAATTACGAATTAAAAACCTATAAATAAAAAAATCAAGCGTCGGAATGATTGAAAAATCAAAAAATTGATACATTCAGAAGTTGAAAAACCAAAATTTTAAACTGAAAGCTCTACAAATTCGAAAATTCAAAAGTAGAAAATTCAAGAAATTGGATATGGAAAATTGCAAAATAATAATAAAAGAACTAAAAAAATCGTGAATGAAATAATTGATAACTGAGAAAATTAGAAAATGGAAAAATTAAAAATCGAAAAACTGAAAAATTTTTCAAAATTTATTGAACTAATTTTGACCATTTTTTGACAGAGATTTCAGATTTGTCACTAGCGGAAGATTATTTACAATTTGACACCAAATTTCGATCGATTGAACCAATTTTAAATATTTTTTGAAAATTTGAATTCACATTTCATATTTAGTGGAATAGATATCGTGACGATGTTTAGAGATTTTGAACTGGCGGAAGATTATTATCAACAATTTGACACCAACTTTCAGTCGATTGAACTAATTTTAAAGATTTTTTTGGAAATTTTTGAAAATTTTGAGTTCATTTTTCGCCTTTATTTGAACAGGTATCGTGATGGCGATTTTACGTTTGTAACTAGCGAAAGATTGTCTAGAATTTGCCATCAATTTTCTCTCCGTGGTACCAAATTTATCCATTTTTTTGGAAAATTTTTCAAAATTTTGAATTCAATTTTTAGTGTTTATTGGAACGGATATCGTGACTGTGATTTCAGATTTGTAACTTTTAATTTTTGACGTCAGTAGATTATCAATTTTTCTATTTCTCACTTTCACGCTTAATCAACTTTTTGGTTTTTCGACTTTTAGATTTTTGGATTCCAAATTTGGAATTTTAAATACTTCGATTCAATTTTTCGATTTTTCAATTTTTGACTTTTCTAAATTTCCGATTTTTCGGTTTTTCATGTTTTTGATTTTTCAATTTTTTGATATTTCAGTTTTGGAATTTTTCAATATTTATTGTCTCTTATGTATTGGAACAGATATCGTGACTGTGATTTCAGATTTGTAACTGACGGAAGATTATCTAATTTAATTTGACACGACCGATTGTACCAATTTTAGATATTTTTTTGGAAAATTTTTGAAAATTTTGGATTCAATTTTCATGTTATTGCGACAGAGATCTTTACGGCGATTTCAGATTTATCGTTAGCGGAAAATTATCTACAATTTTACACCAATTTTCAGTTGATTGAACCAATTTTACCCATTTTTTTGGAAAATTTTTGAAAATTTTGGATTCAGTTTTCGTGTTTATTGGAGCCCATATCGTGACGGCGATTTCAGATTCGTAACTACCCAAAGGTTATCTACAATTTGACACCAATTTTCGGTAGATTGAACCAATTTAAGCCACTTTTTTGGAAAACTTTTGGAAATTTTGGTTTCACTTTTCGTGTTTATTGGAGCAAAAATCGTGACGGCGATTTCAGATTCGTAACTACCGAAAGATTATCTACAATTTGGCACAAATTTTCAGTCGATTGAACGAATTTTAACCACTTTTTTGGAAAATTTTTGGAAATTTTGGATTCACTTTTTGTGTTTATTGGAGCAGATATCGTGACGGCGATTTCAGATTCGTAACTAACGGAAGATTATCTACAATTTGACACCAATTTTCGGTCGATTGTAACAATTTCAACCATTTTTTTCGAAATTTTGGTTTCCCTTTTCGTATTAATTGGAGCAGATATCATGACGGCGACTTCAGTTTTTTAACTAGCGGAAGATTATCTAGAATGTGACACCAATTTTCGGTTGATTGAACCAATTTAAACCACTTTTTTGGAAAATTTTTGAAAATTATGTATCCACCTTTCGTGTTTATTCAATCAGATATCGTGACAGTGATTTCAGATTCAGAACTAGCGGAAGATTATCTAGAATTTGACACTAATTTTAGGTTGATTGAAGCAATTTTAACCCATTTTTTGGAAAATTTTTGGAAATTTTGGATTCACTTTTCGTGGTAATTGGAGCAAATGTCGTGACGGCGATTTCAGATTCGTAACTACCGAAAGATTATCAACAATTTGACACCAATTTTCGGTCGATTGAACCAATTTTAACCACTTTTTGGGAAAATTTTTGGAAATTTTGGATTCAATTTTCGTGTTTATTGGAGCAGATCACGTGACGGCAATTTCAGATTCGTAACTAGCGGAAAATAATCTATAATTTGAACCAATTTAAACCACTTTTTTGGAAATTTTTTGGAAATTTTGGATTCACTTTGCGTGTTTATTGGAGCAGATCGCGTGACGGCACTTTCAGATTCGTAACTAGCGCAAGATTATCTAGAATTTGACACCAATTTTCGGTAGATTGAACCAATTTGAACCACTTTTTTCGAAAATTTTTGAAAATTTTGGTTTCACTTTTCGCGTGACTGCAATTTCATTCGTAACTAGCGGAAAATTATCTACAATTTGACACCAATTTTCGTTCGATTGTATCAATTTGAACCACATTTTTGGAAAATTTTTGGAAATTTTGGATTCACTTTTCGTGTTTATTGGAGCAGATATCGTGACGGTGTTCAGATATTTGCAACTGGCGGAAGATTATCTACAATTTAACACCAATTTTCAATCTATTCAACTAATTTTGACTATTCTTTTGAAAAATTTTTGAAAATTTTGAATTCACATTTCATATTTATTCGAACAGATATCGTGACGACGTTTAGAGATTTTGGACTGGCGGAAGATTATCTACAATTAGACACCAGTTTTCAATCTATTGAGCCAATCTTAAACAACTATTTGAAAAATTTTTGAAAGCTTTGAATTCATTTTTCCTGTTTATTGAACGAGATATCGTGACGACGATTTCAGACTTGTAACAAGCGGAAGATTATCTACAATTTGACACCAACTTTCAGTCGAACTAATTTTAGAGATATTTTAGGAAAATTTTTGAAAACCTTGAATCCACTTTTCGTCTTTATTTGAACAGATATCGTAATGGCGATTTCACATTTGTAACTGGCATAAGATTATTTCTTAACCACTTTTTTGGAAAATTTTTGAAAATTTTTAATTCACTTTTCGTCTTTAGTGGAACAAATACTATTACTACGATTTCAGATTTGTAACTGGCCAAAGATTATCTACAATTTGACACCAATTTTCGGTCCAAGGAACCAATTTTAACCATTTTTTTTTTCTCATTTTGAGTTCACTTTTCGTGTTTATTGAAACAGATATCATGGCGGCGCTTTCAGATTTGTAACTGCCGATGATTGTCTACAATTTTACACCGAATTTCGGTCAATGGAATCAATTTTAAGCATTTTTTGAAAAATTTTTGGAAATTTTGAATCTACTTTTCGAGTTTATAGAAACAGATACTGTGACGGCGACTTCAAGTTTCTAACTATCACAAGATTCTTTACAATTTGACACTAATTTTCGGTCGATTGAGCCAATTTTAACCACTTTTTTGGAAAATTTTTGGAAACTTTGATTTCACTTTTCGTGTTTATTGGAGCAGATATCGTGACGGTGTTAAGATATTTGCAACTGGCGGAAGATTATCTACAATTTAACACCAATTTTCAATCTATCGAACTAATTTTGACCATTCTTTTGGAAAATGTTTGAAAATTTTGAATTCACTTTTCGTCTTTAGTGGAACAGATACTATTACTCCGATTTTAGAGTTGTAATTGGCCGAAGATTATCTACAATTTGACACCAATTTTAACCATTTTTTTTTCATTTTTAGTTCACTTTTCGTGTTTATTGAAACAGATATCATGGCGGTGCATTCACATTTGTAATTGGCGAAAGATTGTCTACAATTTGACACCGAATTTCGGTCAATAAAATCAATTTTAAGCATTTTTTGAAAAATTTTTGGAAATTTTGAATCTACTTTTCGAGTTTATTGGAACAGATATTGTGACGGCGACTTCAGGTTTCTAACTATCACAAGATTCTTTATAATTTGACACTAATTTTCGGTCGATTGAGGCAATTTTAACCACTTTTTTGGAAAATTTTTGGAAACTTTGATTTCACTTTTCGTGTTTATTGGAATAAATATCTTGACGGCGATTTCAGATTCGTAACTAGCGGAAGATTATCTAGAATTTGACACTAATTTTCGGTAGATTGTACCAATTTTAACCATTTTTTTGGAAATTTTGGATTCACTTTTCGTGTTTATTGGAGCAGAAATCGTGACGGTATTCAGATATTTGCAACTGGCGGAAGATTATCTACAATTTAACACCAATCTTCAATCTATTGAACTAATTTTGACCATTCTTTTGGAAAATTTTTGAAAATTTTGAATTCACTTTTCGTTTTTAGTGGAACAGATACTATGACTGCGATTTCAGATTTGTAATTAGCGGATGATTGTCTACAATTTTACACCGAATTTCGGTCAATGGAATCAAGTTTAAGCATTTTTTGGAAAATTTTTGGAAATTTTGAATCTACTTTTCGAGTTTATTGGAACAGATATTGTGACGGCGACTTCAGGTTTCTAGCTATCAGAAGATTCTTTTTAATTTGACACCAATTTTAACCATTTTTTTAGAAGTTTTTCTTGATTCGACATGTTTTCTTCCACTGGATGAAGACCAAGGGGCTCTGACCTGACCTCACCTGCCCTGACCCCCATCTTTTGTCATAGTGTTCCATTCAGACTTTTATATTTTCAATAAAACAACAACAAAATAAATGCTATTTATTAATTTATCACTTATGTGTTACCACTACCACCCGACTCCTTATTTTTACCAAAATCCCTTCCACCACCCCCATGCCCACCTTTCCTCCGCCCCACATACACCGTATTCGCCTTAAAATACTCCTCAATCTCCACCAACTTCTTCCTATGCGTTTCCGGCAAGAACACAAACACATAAATAACAGTCCCGAAAGACACCCCCGAAAACAACCACTGAATCCCCGCCGGCCCACCACACAGCCACTCCAGATTCCTGTAATTCTGGACCGCTGCGAACATCATCAGATTCACCACACTATTGCAGACACTGTAGGCCACACCCCTGATCTTCATCGGGAAGAGCTCCGCCGTCATGGTCCACGGCATCGTCAACAACCCCACCATCGACGAAACCGCGTACAGCACCAGGAACACCACGGGCACCCAGCTGGCATCAGTGGTCCCGGTTTTGATCCAGTGGGTGAACAAGCCCGAAATCAGGGTGCACACGCCCATCCCGAACGCGCTGGCCATCATGAGGTGTCTGCGGTTAAAAATCGAGAGCATCCAGGTGTTGAGGACTGAGATGACCAGTCGGATGACTCCGATCCAGATGGAAGCTACGTAAGGGTTGATGTCGCTGCCGACGGTTTGGAAGAACGTGACGGAGTAGAAGAGGAAGATGTAGATGCCGGAGAATTGTTGGAAGAGGAAGACGCCACAAATAATAAGGAAAGGTTTGTAGCCAGTGGGTTTGAGGAACTCTCGGATTATGCTGTCACCGGTTTTGGAGTCGATTTTCTTTTGCTCGTCTTCTTTGATTAGAAGGGTTAGGTAGATTTCTGCAAAGGTTTTACCCTATAGGAAGAGTAGATTGTTGTTCGGGGGTTGAAATTTTACCCTGTATGGTGGTTGGTTTTTGTAGATCCAGTCAAGAGCTTTGTGTGCTTTTTCGTTCTTTCCTTTGGATACTAGCCAAGGGGGGCTTTCTGGAAGGAAGAAAACTAGGAAGAAAGGGATGATTGTGTAAGCGTTGCAGGACCAAGCGATTAATCTCCAGTTCAGTAACCACCCTTTGAGATAGGTTAGGACTAAACCCACGGAGACGTAGACGGGTCCTACCCCTAAGAAAGAGCCCCGCAAATCTTTTGAAGCAATTTCTGAAATGTACACTACACCTGGACTCGTCGATAGGGCTGAAATTAAACACTTATTAGATACAAATTTATACCTAATGTATATCTACGAGCAGCTAGTCCTGTAAAAACTCGAGCCACCACCAACATGGGTACGTTATACGCTAACGCCATTAGCACCCAAGCGGCAATTCCAGGAATTACAGATATTTTCAAAGTGTTAAGCCTTCCAAACCGGTCCATAAGAAAACCAGCCATGATGGACCCAAGCGGTGCCACTAAAGGTACGACACTTGCAATCCACGACAGTTCATCTTCAGTGACACTAATGTCACTATCTTCACTCTCTAGTTGCGGTATTAAAATAGCAGAGTACGCTAAACCTACCCCTACCACTACATTGTTAGCACTAGCTATTAAAGTAGCTGCAATCTAAACAACAATATTTAAAAAACCAACTTTAGTAGGTAATATTCACCTCAGGCATAAGATTTTTGCAATTTTTCTCTTCAAAGCGACTTAGCGACTTGGTGCTAGTGGAAGCAAACGGATCCCCTGCCTCTTCTTCATCCTCGCCGTCTTCCTCTGCTCTATTATTCAAGTTAGGTTCGCCAAAAAACAAGCTTTAGACTCACCTTAAGTTAAATGTGCTTTTACTAAAAAAAAATGTATTAAGTTTGTAAAGGATTGCGTGGTGCGGATTACCTGATTGGGTCCATGACGTCACTGAATGCACACTTGTTAAGTTTTTGACGAATTAATACTCACTTGAAGCATCTATCACTGGTGACAGGACTAGGTTTTGGCTAAACATTAATCTGAAACCGGCCCTGTCCGAAATAGATAGGCAACACACTATACACGTCAGTTGTCACGATACTCATAACCTCAAAAGTGAAAGTTCGTCTGTTTATCAACAATAATATTAACATTTTTTTAGTACAACAACAACAACAACAACAACGAGATTTGACTTGATGAGACCGTGGTTACAATGTCGGTGTCCACAGACGTTGTCATTAAGAAGGAAGTGGGCCCCCCTGAAGAATATTTTCTAGAAGAAGATGATATTAAAATTGAAGAAACGTGTTTGCAGGGTACTAGTGAAGACAGTTTTGTTCCTTTAATTACGCCGACGACTGTGATTGTCGAGCGAAAGTTGTCTGTTTGTTCAATGTGCCAGTGTACTTTCGAGCGGAAAGCCAACATCAAGCTGCAACATAAGGATGTTTCTAAATGTTATAAGTGTGTTTTGCACTCTAGGTTGAGCGAGGTTTTTAATGTTAGGGCGAAACGGAAAAAGGGGATTTGGTCACAAGGTAAGTGATAAAAATAATAATCCGTGCTTGATTTGTCAATATTTTTTGATCTTTGGCTACTACATTTTTTTGTGTCAAAATTAAATGATGTAACAAATGCAGAAGTGGTGTGTAAAATTTATCCCAAAAATATCATTTTTGGTTGCTTTTTATTAACAATTTTTATGTTTTTTGGTCGCTTTTTTTGTCAGTTTTTCGATCATCTTTTTTGTAGCTTTTTTATCTATTTCTTGTGGATTTTTTTCTTCTTTTTGTCGTTTTTTCGTCTTTCGGTATGTGTCAGCTTTTTTTGTAGATATTTTAATCAACTTTTTTACCGTTTTTTGCCCTCCTTTTTGTCAGTTTTTCGCCTTTTTTGTGTGCTTTGTATCTTTTTTGTTTAACATTATTGTACATTTTTTGTCGGTTTTTACTTTTTTTAGTCGATTTTCATCATTTTGTCATTTTTGTTGTCTTTTCTGCCGCTATTGTTCTCCCCCCTTTTTTCTTTTATTTCCTCTTTTGTTGTGTCGTATTTCGTCGAATTTTACTAGCTTTTATTTTGCTATCGTTGTGTGTATTTTTTTGTTACACATTCTTTATGACCCTGTTAGTTGCCTTTTTAAGTTACCTTTTTTTATCACTTTTTTTATTATTATTTTTATTACCTTTTTTGACCTTTTTTGTTGTCTTCCCCCTTTTTGTTTTTGTCGTTTTTCTAACTTTTTGTCGCTATTTTACGCCACTTTTTTAAAAAGTATGTTTTTTTTCTTTTTTTTGATGTTGTTTTTGGTCATCTGCTTTTGTCCACTGTTTGTCGTCTTTTCTGTCGAACTTTTTGTCCCCTTTTTTGCCCTTTATTTCGTCTTTTGTTTTGTATTGTCTCGTTTGTTGCTATTTTTGGTGCTTTTTCTTACCTTTTATTTTGTCGTCGTTTATTTGTCGTAATTTTTTATCTTTTTTATCAGTTTTTTTAGTGTTGCTTTGTGTAAACATCCTTTTTGGCGTCTTTTTTCTCTTATTTTAAGGTTTTTCAATGCCTTGTGTCGTTTTTTGCTTTTTTGGTGTCTTTTTTTGGGATTTTTTATCGTCTTGTTTTTTCGTCATTTTCTCGTCCACTTTTGTCGCTTTTCTCGTCTCCTTTTTTTATCACTTTTTTGATTATTTTTTTCGTCTCGTTTTTTTTGTTTTGTCCATTTTTCTTTTTATTTAATGTTCGTCTTGTTTTTTTTTCGAATTTTTGTGTCACTTTGTAGCGCTTTTGGATTATCTTTTTTTGTAGTTTTTTCTTCGTCTTACTTGTGTTCCCTTTTATTGCTTTCTTTTAATCACTTTTTTTTTATTTTTACCATCTTTTTATGACCCTATGATCTTGCTCCCTTTTTTTGTTGTCGTTTTTTTTTGTCACAATTTTGCCTTTTGTGTGATTTTTTATTATCGTTTTTTCGTCATTTTCTTCACCTGTGGACGTTTTTTCATCATTTTATCTTTTTTAATCTTTTTTATCTGCCTTTTTGGTCATTTTTTCGCGATGAATCGATTTTTTAGATTGTCGACTTTTCGATTTCTGGACTTTCCTATTTCTCGATTTTTTAATTTTTTGATTTCTCTGTTTGTCGATATTCCAGTTTTGGGATTTTTCAATATTTCGATTCACTTTTTGACGTGTCTAAATATTCGATTTTTCGATTTCTCATTTTTCGATATTTGAGTTTTGGGATTTTTCGATGTTTCAATTTCATCATTAATCGATTTTTTGGCTATTCGACCTTTCGATTTCTCGATTTTTCCACTTTTCGATATTTTGTGTCTAACATTTCGTCAATTTTTAAATTTTTAAATTTTTCAATTCTTTAATTTTTGACATTTTTGATTTTTCAACTTTTCGATTTCTGGACTTTTATATTTCTCGATTTTTTAATTTTTCGATTTCTCAGCTTTTGGCGTTTCTAAATATGTATTCCATTTTTCGATATTCCTATTTTTGACATTCCTGAATTATAAATTTTTCGATTTCTCAATGTAATAATTAATCCATTTTTTGATTTATTGGACATTTCAATTCAATTCAATTTTTCAGTTTTTTAATTTTTGACATTTCTAAATTTTCGATTTTTCGAGATTTTTTGATTTCACGATTAATTGATTTATTGCTTTTTCGACTTTTCGATTTCTGAACTTTTCGCTTTCACGAATTTTCAATTTTCTTAATATTTCAGTTATGGAATTTTTCAATATTTCGATTCTTCAATTTTTCCATTTTTCGCCTTTTCGAATTCTCGATTTTTTGATGTTTCGATTTCAAAATTTTTCAATTTTTTGATTCTTCAATTTCTCTTCGATTCCACAATTTTTCGATATTTTAGTTTTGGAATTCTCATTATTTGGATTTAATTTTTTGATTTCTCAATTTTTGACATTTCTAAATGATCGATTTTTCTATTTCTCATTTTCACGATTAATCGATTTTTTGGTTTTTCGACTTTTAGATGTCTCGGTTTTTCAGTTTTTCCATATTTTAGGTTTGGGATTTCTTCAATATTTCAATTTTAAAATTTTTCGACTTTTCAATTTTTGACGTTTCTAAATTTTCGATTTTTCGATTCCTCAATTTTACGATTAATCGATTTTGTGGTTCTTCGACTTTTCGATTTGTCAATTTTTGAATTTTTCGATATTTTAGTTTTGAGATTTCGTCACTTTTTCAATTTTTCAAATTTTCATTTCTTTAATTTTTGTTTCGATTCTTCGAGAGTTTTTGATTTCTCGATTAATCGATTTTTTGGTTTTTCGACTTTTCGATTTCTAGACTTTTCTATTTCCCGATTTTTTAGTTTTTCGATTTCTCACTTTTTCAATATACCGTTTTTGGAATTGTAAATATTTCGATTCACTTTTTCGACTTCTACATTTTTCGATTTTGCAATTTTGATGTTTCTAAATATTCGATTTTTCGATATTTCAGTTTTGGAGTTTTTCAATGTTTCGGTTTGTCAATTTTTCGACTTTTCAATTTTTGACGTTCCTAAATTGTCGATTTTTCGATTTCTGAATTTTAATCGATTTTTTGACTTTTCGATTTTCCAATTTTTCGATATTTTAGTTTTAGCATTTCTTCAGTTTTCCATTTTTCAATTTTTCCGTTCTTTAATTTTTGACATTTGTAAATTTTCGATTTTTCGAGATTTTTGATTTCTCGATGAATCGATTTTTTGGTTTTTCGACTTTTCGATTTCTCGATTTTCAGTATTTCGATTCTTCAATTTTTCGATTTTTCAATTTTTGACGTTTCTAAATTTTCGAGTTTTCGATTTCTGAAGTTTTCTATTTCTTGATTTCCAATTTTTCGATTTCTCAGTTTTTTACCTTTCTAAATATGTATTCGATTTTTCTATTTTTGACATTCCTAAATTATCGATTTTTCGATTTCTCAATTTAATAATTAATTAATTTTTTGAGTTATTAGACATTTCGATTTCTCCATTTTTCAATTTTTCGATATTTTAGTGTTAGAATTTTTTCAATTTTTCGATTTTTAAATTTTTTGATTTTTCAATGTTTCAGTTTTTTAATTTTTCAATATTTCCATCCATCAAGTTTTGAATTTCACAGTTTTAGACATTCCTAAATTATTGATTTTTCGATTTCTGAATTTCATAATTAAACAATTTTTTGACTTTTCGATTTCTCGATTTTTGAATTTTTCGATATTTTGGTTCTGGGGAGTCTTCAATTTTTCGATTTCTCAATTTTTTTAGTTTTTCACGTTTCTAAATTTTCGATTTTTCGAGATTTTTTGGTTTCAGGTTTAATCGATTTTGTGGTTTTCGATTTCTCAATTTCTGAATTTTTCGATATTTTAGCTTTGAGATTTCGTCAATTTTTGGTTTTTAAAATTTTCAGTTCTTTAAATTTTGTTCCGATTTTTCGAAATTTTTTGATTTTTCGATTATTCGATTTTTTGGTTTTTGGACTTTTAGATTTTCGAACTTTTCTATTTCCCGATTTTTTAATTTTACGGTTTCTCAGTTTTTCGATATTCCAATTCTGGAATTTTAAATATTTCGATTCAATTTTTCGATTTTTACATTTTTGACATTCCTAAATTATCGATTTTTCGATTTCTCGATTTTTCAATTTTTAGATATTTTAATTTTAGGAATTCGTCAATTTTTCGATTTCTCAATTTTTTTAGTTTTTCACGTTTCTGAATTTTCGATTTTTCGGTATTCCAGTTTTGAGATTTTTCAATATTTCGAATTTTTGATTTCTCAATTTTTCGATATTTCAGTTTTGGAATTTTTCAATATTTCGATTTTCAATATTTCGATTCTTCAAATTTTCGATTTCTCGATTTTTCAATTTTTTATCGATATTTTAATTTTGGGAATTCGTCAATTTTTCGATTTTTAAATTTTTCGGTTTTTCAGTTTTTGAGTGTTTTAATTTTTGACGTTTCTAAATTTTCGATTTTTCGATTTCTCGATTAATCGATTTTTTGGTTTTTCGACTTTTCGCTTTCTCGATTTTTTAATATTTTAGTTTTGGAGTTTTTCATTATTTCGATTCTTGACGTTTCTAAATTTTTGGTTTTTCGATTTTTCAATTTCTCCATTAATCCTACTTTTCATTTTTCGACTTTTCGATTTCTGAACTCTCCGATTTCTCGATTTTTCAATGTTTCAGTTATGGGATTTTTTCAATATTTTAATTCTTCAGTTTTTCCATTTCTCGCCTTTTCGATTTCTGGATTTTTCGATGTTTCAATTTTTTGATTTCTCAATTTTTCGACATTTTTGCTTTGGAATTTTTCATTATTTTTCTATTTCTCATTTTCACGATGAACAAATTTTTTGGTTTTTCGACTTAGAATGCTGGATTTCTATATATTTCTCGAATTTTTCCATACATATTTCGATTCTTCAATTTCTCGATTATTCAATTTTTGACATTCTTAAGTTATCCATTTTTCGATTTCTCAATTTCATAATTAATCGATTTTTTGGTTTTTCGATTTTTCAAATTCTCGATATTTTAGTTTTGGGATTTTTTCAATTTTTCGATTTTCCAATTTTTCAGTGTTTTAATGTTCGGCGTTTCTACATTTTCAATTTTTTGGTTTTTCGACTTTATGATTTCTGGACTTTCCTATTTCATGAGTTTTTTAATTTTTCGTTATTCCAGTTAGGGGTTTTTCAATATTTAAATTCTTCAATTTTACATTTTTCGATTCATGGATTTTTTGATTTTTCGACTTTTCGATTTTTCGCCATCTTTTTATCTTTTCTGCCCTTTTTTTAGTCGTTTTTTTTTGTTTGGCTTTTTCATTTAGCCTTCTATTTTTAGTTTTTGTTTTTGGTTCTTTCTTTCTATTTTTATCATCTTTCTTTTGCTCTCTTTTTCCCGTTCTTTTCTTTGCTTTCTTTGTCGCCCCATTTTGCTTTTTTTTTTTCATCCTTTTGTTCTTTTTATTTTGGTTGTTTTTTCGAATTGGCCGCCTTTTTAAATTAAAAATTTTAATTTTATAATTTTTTATTTTTATTATTTGTCATGTATTCCAGCAGTACCACCAAAGAAGGCGTACTCTGAAATCGAAGACCACGATAGTGATAGTAGAGACAGTGACATAATTATCACCGACCCTGGAATTAGTCAAATCGCAAGGTACTTGTAGTTTAACCACCAACTTATTTCCAATGTAAACTCATTTTTTGACCTAGCTTTTCAGTAAAAAAACTCATGTATGTGTGTGCCTTTTGTAAGACTCAGTTCGAAAGGACAGACTCTAGGGGGCTCCGAGAACCCGGCGACTGGTACAAATGCAACCGCTGCATCCTCCACTCTCGCCTCAACACAGTCTTCCAACCCAACAAACCCAAAAAACGCAAATCATCCTGATCTAATTAACTATTTATTATAATACTTGTCATACAATATCACAAGATTCATGTAAGTACCTACTAAGTATATAAGTAGCTAATATTCAAGGTATACTGATTTCGCAACCCGAGTCCAACCCCAGGCCTTAGCACAGCTCAATATAAAAACAGTATAAAAAATATCAACACTTTTCAATAAATAATAGCTCTGTCAATACTATTCGAGACAATCAGACACTCATAAGTTTCTCCGCCTCCCGGTCGCTCCTCACCTCCTTCCCCTCAACCTTCTTTTTCTTCCCCTGCCCCAAGTAGATCAAGTTGTGGTTGAAATAGTCCTCGATCTCGGTCAGTTTCTTCCCGTGCGTTTCCGGCACGAACACGAACGTGTACATCATGCCGACTATGGAAACCACGGCGAAGAAAAACTGGACCCCGGAGGCCCCGTGGAACGCGTCCATGAGGCTCTCGTAGCTCTGGACCGCCGCGAACATGAGGATGTTGGCCATGCTGTAGGCGATGCTGTGGGCCACGCCCCGGATTTCGATGGGGAACAGTTCGGCGGTCATGGTCCAGGGGATGGGCAGGAGGCCGATCATGCACGCGATGACGTAGAGCAGGAGCAGCGCCACGGGGACCCATTTTTCGTCGGTGGTGCCGTTTTGGATCCAGAGGGTGAACAGGCCGGAGAGGAGCATGCTGGCGGCCATGCAGAGGCCGCTGGACATGATGAGGGGGCGGCGACGGAAGGTGCGGAGGAGGTAGGTGTCCACGATGGACATGAAGAGACGGACGGCGCTGATGAGGACCGAGGCGAGGTAGGGGTTGACGGGGCTGCCGACTGCCTGTGAATGATAAAAATTTATATAGCAAAACGGTTCTTCCGTTAGGTATACAGTATACTAAGGAAGTATTGTAATATGTTAACATGACCTCTAGAGTACGCAAAAATATTTTTATTAGACAGATAATCTCCGAAACTACCGGACCGATTGACCAAAATTTGTCTGATCATCCCCACCAACAATTTTATAAAATAACGTACTCCTCCTTTTGTGGTTTATGAATTCGTGTTGAATTTTTATCCTAGACATCGAGATTTTTGGAAAAAAAAAATCAAAATTGTAGATCTATCACCGATTTTCGATTTTTCAATTTGTCAATTTTCAGTTTTTCGATATTTCATTTCCTCGATTCTTCAATATTTTATTTCGATTTTTAAATATTCGATTTTTCGATGTTTCCATTTTTCGATTCGTCAATTTTCTGATGTTTCAGTTTGACAATTTTTAACTTTTTCAATTTTTGACGTCTCTAAATTTTCGCATTTTCGATCTCTCAATTTCACGATTAATCGATTTTTTGGTTTCCCGACTTCGATTTCTCGAATTTTTGATTTTTCCATTTCTCAAATTTTTTATTTCTCGATTTTTTCATTTTTTTGGTTACCCGATTTTCCGACGTTTTTGACGGTTCTAAATGTCTCCGATTTTTCGATTTTTTTACTTTTTCGATTTTTTGATGGAACGACATCTTGATTTTTCAATTTTCCGATATTTTATTTTTTCAATTTTTAAAATTTTCAAGTTTTCGAGTTTTCAATTTTTGACGTTTTTAAATATTCAGTTTTCCGATTAATCGGTTTAAATTGGTTTTTCTACTTTTCGATTTCTAGATTTTCCAGTTTTTCAATGTTTCAGTCATGGGACTTTTCAATATTTCGATTCTTCAATTTGCCCAGTTTTCGCTTTTTTTATTTTTCAATTTTTCGATGTTTTTGTTTTGGGATTTCCTCAATTTTTTAATTTTAATTTTTAATTTTTTCTAAATTTTGGATTTTTTTGGATTTTTGATTTTTCGATTTCTCACTTTTTCGATATTGGGATTTTAAATATTTCGATTCAATTTTTCAATTTTTACATTTTTTTGATTTTTCAATTTTTAACCATTCTAAATGTTCGATTTATCGATTGTTCAATTTTTCGATTTTCAATTTTTGACATTCCTGAATGATCGATTTTTCAATTGTTCGGTTTTCATTTTTGAGTTTCTAAATTTTCGATTTTTAGACATTTTTTGGTTTTTCGACTTTTCGATTTCTGCACTGTTTCTAGAGTTTTTAATGTTCTGATTTCTCAAATTTTCGACATTCCAGTTTTGGGGTTTTTGAATATTTCGATTTATTTTTTGATTTTTACATTTTTCGGTTTTTCAATTATTGACATTTCTAACTATTCGATTTTTCGATTTCTCGTATTTCCGATTTCTCAATTTTTGACATTCTTAAGTTATCGATTTTTCGATTTCTCAATTTCATAATTAATCGATTTTTTGGTTTTTTGGATTTTTCAAATTCTCGATATTTCAATTTTTCGATATTTTAGTTTTGAGATTTCTTCGATGTTTCCATTTTTCGAGTCGTCAATTTTCCGATGTTTCAGTTTGACAATTTTTAACTTTTTCAATTTTTGACGTCTCTAAATTTTCGCATTTTCGATATCTCAATTTCACGATTAATCGATTTTTTGGTTTCCCGACTTCGATTTATCGAATTTTTGATTTATCTATTTCTCAAATTTTTTATTTCTCGATTTTTTCATTTTTTGATTACCCGATTTTCCGATGTTTCTGACGGTTCTAAATGTCTCCGATTTTTCGATTTTTTTACTTTTTCGATTTTTTGATGGAACGACATCTTGATTTTTCAATTTTTAAAATTTTCAAGTTTTCGAGTTTTCAATTTTTGACGTTTTTAAATATTCAGTTTTCCGATTAATCGGTTTAAATTGGTTTTTCTACTTTTCGATTTCTCGATTTTCCAGTTTTTCAATGTTTCAGCCATGGGACTTTTCAATATTTCGATTCTTCAATTTGCCCAGTTTTCGCTTTTTTTATTTTTAAATTTTTCGATGTTTTTGTTTTGGGATTTCCTCAATTTTTTAATTTTAATTTTTAATTTTTTCTAAATTTTGGATTTTTTGGGATTTTTGATTTTTCCATTAATCGATATTTGGTTTTGGATTTTTCGATTTCTGGATTTTTCAGTTTTTCCATGTTTTTATTTTTTTCAATATTTCAATTCTACAGTTTTTACCGATTTTTTGGTTTTTTACTTTTTTGATTTTTGGATATTTTAATTTTTCAATTTTAAAAATTCTAGATTTTTCAATTTTTGGCATTTTTAAATATAAAATTTTTCGAATAATCGATTTTTGGGGGTCGAATTCGATTTCACGATTTTCCAGTTTCCGTTTTTTCGATTTCTCGATTTTTCAATTTCTAACTTTTTCAATTTATTTATTTTTCAATTTTTCTTCCATTTTTCAATTTTTCAATTTTTGATGTTTCTAAATTATCGATTTTTATATTTTTGTATTTCACGATTAAATTACAGTTTAAATTTAATTTTACAGTTTTTTAATTTTCGACTTTTTTAAATTTTCAATTTTTCGGTATTTTTGTTTTAGGATTTCTTCAGTTTTTCAATTTTTAAATTTTTCGATTTTTCAGTTTTACAGTTTTTTAATTTTTGACGTTGGTAAATTTTTGATTTTTCGGGATTTTTTGATTTCTCCATTAATCGATTTTTTGGTTTTTCGATTTTTCGATTTCTGGACTATTCTATTTCTCAATTTTTTAATTTTTCGATATTCCAGTTTAGGAATTTATCAATATTTCGGTTCTGCAATTTTTCGATAGTTAAATTTTAGCTTATTCAATTTTTCGATGTTCCAATTTCTCGATTTTACAATTTTTCAATTCCCAGATTCTTCAAATTTCGGATTTTTTTTTTCGTTTTTAAATTTCTCAATTTTCTGATGTTTTCAGTTTTACGATTTTTCACTTTGTCCATTCAAAGTTTCTTAATTAATCGATTTTTTGGCTTTTTGACTTTTCGATTTCTGGACTTCTTGATTTTTCAATTCAATTTTTCGATATTTCAGTTATGGGATTTTTCAATACTTCGATTTCTCAATTCTTCATTTTCCCCTTTTCGATTTCTCGATTTTTAAATTTTTCAATATTGTAGTTTTGGAATTTTTCGTCATTTCGATTCTTAAATTTTTCGATTTTACAATTTTTTTTTATTATTTATCAATTTTTCGATTTCTCGATTTTTCAATTCTTCGATATTTTAGCTTTGGGGTTTCTTCAGTTTTTCGCGTTTAAAATTTTTCGATTTTTCGAGATTTTTTGATTTCTCGATTAATCGATTTTTTGGTTTTCGACTTTTTGATTTGTGAAATTTTCTATTTCTCAATTTTTAAAATTTTCAGATATTCCAATTTTTCAAGTTTTTAATTAATTGATTTTTTGGTTCTTTGACTTTTCAATTTTTCGATTTTAAAATGTTTCAATATTTCAATTTTTAGAATTTTTAAATTTTTGAATTTTCAGTTTATTGATTTTCCAGTTTTTCAGTTTCTTAAATTTTACATTTTTCGGCTTTTTGATTTTTACATTTCCCGATTTTTCAACATTTCAATTTTTAAAATTTTCGAGTTTTCTATTTTTCAAGTTTTGACATTTGTTTTTCAATGTTTCAATCATGGGACGTTTCAATATTTGTATCCTTCAATTTGTCTAATTTTCGTTTTTTCAATTTCTCGATTTTTCGATGTTTCGATTTCTAACTTTTTGAATTTTTTTATTATTCATGTTTTTCAAATTTTCGATATTTTCCTTGTGGGTTTTCTTCGATTCTTCAATTTTTTATTTTTCGATGTTTAAATTTTACAGTTTTATAGTTTTTGGCGTTTCTAAATTTTGGATATTTCGGGATTTTTTATTTTTCCATTAATCAATTTTTTGGTTTTTCGACTTTTCGTTTTCTGGATTTTTCAGTTTTTCCATGTTCTTATTTTCGCATTTTTTTATTTTTTTCAATATTTCAACTCTGCAATTATTCGATTTTTCGGTTTTTTACTTTTTCGATTTTTTGATATTTTAAATTGTCAATTTTAAAAATTCCAGATTTTTCAATTTTTCGGTTTTACAATTTTTGACGTTTCTAAATTTTGAATTTTTCGATTTCCCAATTTCTCCATTAAGTAATCGATTTTTCGATTTTTTGATATAACGACTACTTGATTTTGCAATTTTTCGATATTTTAATTGTTAAAATTTTCGAGTTTCCGATTTTTCAATTTTTGACGTTCGTTTTTCAATGTTTCAATCATGGGATTTTTCAATATTTGTATTCTTCAATTTGTTTAATTTTCGCTTTTTCAATTTCTCGATTTTTTGATGTTTCGATTTCTAACTTTTTGAATTTTTTTATTTTTCATATTTTTCCATTTTTCAATTTTTCGATATTTTCCTTGTGGAATTTTTTCAATTCTTCATTTTTTTTATTTTTAGATTTATTTAAATTTTACAGTTTTATAATTTTTGACGTTTCTAAATTTTGGATTTTTCGGGATTTTTTATTTTTCCATTAATCGATTTTTTGGTTTTTCGACTTTTCGATTTCTGGATTTCTCAGTTTTTCCATGTTTTTATTTTTGCATGGTTTTATTTTTTTCAATATTTCAATTCCGCAATTTTTCGATTTTTCTGTTTTTTACTTTTTCGATTTTTTGATATTTTAAATTTTCAATTTTAAAAATTGTAAATTTTGCGATTTCTAACTTTCTAAATTTTCGATTTTTCGGGATTTTTTGATTTCTCGATTAATCGATTTTTTGGCTTTTCGGCTTTCCGATTTCTGGACTATTCTATTTCTCAGTTTTTTAATTTTTCGATATTCCAATGTAGGAATTTTTGAATATTTCGGTTTTTCAATTATTCGATTTTTTATTTTTTCGATTTTTCAATTTTGCGATTCTTCAATTCCTCGATTGTTCAAATTTCCGATTTTTTTTTTCGTTTTTAAATTTCTCAATTTTCCGATGTTTTAGTTTTACAATTTTTCAATTTGTCAATTCTTAAAATTGTCGATTTTTAAATTTTTTGATTTTTCAACGTTTCTATTTTTGACGTTTCTAAATTTTCGATTTTTGGATTTGAAAGTTTCTCGATTTAATTTTAAATTTTTCGGTATTTTAGTTTTGGAATTTTTCATTATTTCGATTTTAGAATTTTTGACGTTTATTATTTATGAATTTTTCGATTTCTCCATTTCACGATTAGTCAATTTTTTGGTTTTTCGACTTTTCGATTTCGCGATTTTTCAATTCTTCTATATTTTAATTTTGGGATTTCTTCAATTTTTCGTTTTTAAAATTTTTCAATTTTTCGAGTTTTTTTGATTTCTCGATTTTTTAATTTTTCGGTTCTTCAATTTTTGAGGTTTTCAGTATTTTCACATTTTAGATTGTTTAGTTTTTTGGTGTTTCGAGTTGTCCATCTTTCGATTTTTCGACTTCTAGGTTTTGGATTTTTCGGTTTTTCAGTTTTCGATTCTCGATTTTTCGATTTTTTTAATTTGAGACTTTTAATTAACTTTTTGATTTTGGATTTTTTCGTAATTTTTCGAACTTTGGAGTTGTCGACTTTTCCGATTTTTGATTTTTTGCATTTCCCAATCTCACGTCATATACCAATTTTGGAATTTTTCAGTTTCGCGATTTCAGTTTCGATTTCATGATTTTCAGTTTTTATTATTTTAACTTTTCAATTTTTTTTTATTCTAGATTTTTGATTTCTAGGTTTCTCGATTTTCAGGTCTTCGATTTCAATTTTTAGAATTTTTAAATTTTTGAATTTTCACTTTATTGATTTTCCAGTTTTTCAGTTTCTTAAATTTTACATTTTTCGGCTTTTTGATTTTTACATTTGCCGATTTTTCAACATTTCAATTTTTAAAATTTTCGAATTTTCGATTTTTCAAGTTTCGACATTTGTTTTTCAATGTTTCAATCATGGGACGTTTCAATATTTGTATTCTTCAATTTGTCTAATTTTCGTTTTTTCAATTTCTCGATTTTTCGATGTTTCGATTTCTAACTTTTTGAATTTTTTTATTATTCATGTTTTTCAAATTTTCGATATTTTCCTTGTGGGTTTTCTTCAATTCTTCAATTTTTTTATTTTTCGATTTTTAAATTTTACAGTTTTATAATTTTTGACGTTTCTAAATTTTGGATTTTTCGGATTTTTTTATTTTTCCATTAATCGATTTTTCAGTTTTTCCATGTTTTTATTTTCGCATTTTTTAATTTTTTTCAATATTTCAACTCTGCAATTATTCGATTTTTCGGTTTTTTACTTTTTCGATTTTTTGATATTTTAAATTTTCAATTTTAAAAATTCCAGATTTTTCGATTTCTAACTTTCTCAATTTTTTTATTTTTCAATCTTCTTCCATTTTTCAATTTTTCGGTTTTACAATTTTTGACGTTTCTAAATTTTGAATTTTTCGATTTCCCAATTTCTCCATTAAGTAATCGATTTTTCGATTTTTTGATATAACGACTACTTGATTTTGCAATTTTTGAGGTTTGTTTTTCAATGTTTCAATCATGGGACTTTTCAATATATGTATTCTTCAATTTGTCTAATTTTCGCTTTTTCAATTTCTCAATTTTTCGATGTTTCGATTTCTAACTTTTTGAATTATTTTATTATTCATGTTTTTCCATTTTTCGATTTTTCGATATTTTCATTGTGAGATTTCTTCAATTCTTCAATTTTTTTATTTTTCGATTGTTAAATTTTACAGTTTTATAATTTTGGACGTATCTAAATTTTGGATTTTTCGGGATTTTTTTATTTTTCCATTAATCGATTTTTTGGTTTTTCGACTTTTCGTTTTCTGGATTTCTCAGTTTTTCCATGTTTTTATTTTTGTATGTTTTTATTTTTTCAATATTTCAATTCTGCCATTTTTCGATTTTTCGGTTTTTTACTTTTTCGATTTTTTGATATTTTAAATTTTCAATTATAAAAATTCTAAATTTTTCGATTTCTAACTTTCTGAATTTTCGATTTTTCGGGATTTTTTGATTTCTCGATTAATCGATTTTTTGGCTTTCCGGCTTTCCGATTTCTGGACTATTCTATTTCTCAATTTTTTAATTTTTCGATATTCCAATGTAGGGATTTTTGAATATTTCGGTTCTTCAATTATTCGATTTTTTATTTTTTCGATGAATGAATTTTTCGATAGTTAAATTTTAGATTATCAATTTTTCCATGTTCCAATTTTTCGATTTTTCAATTTTGCGATTCTTCGATTCCTCGATTTTTCAAATTTCTGATTTTTTTTCGTTTTTAAATTTCCCAATTTTCCGATGTTTTAGTTTTACAATTTTTCAATTTGTCAATTCTTAAAATTGTCGATTTTTAAATTTTTTGATTTTTCAACGTTTCAATTTTTGACGTTTCTAAATTTTCGATTTTTGGATTTGAAAGTTTCTGGATTTAATTTTAAATTTTTCGATATTTTAGTTTTGGAATTTTTCATTATTTCGATTCTTCAATTTTTTGATTTTACAATTTTTGACGTTTATTATATATGAATTTTTCGATTTCTCCATTTCACGATTAGTCAATTTTTTGGTTTTTCGACTTTTCGATTTTGCGATTTTTCAATTCTTCGATATTTTAATTTTGGGATTTCTTCAATTTTTCGTTTTTTAAATTTTTTTTGATTTCTCGATTAATCGATTTTTTCGTTTTTCGACTTTTTGATTTCTGGAATTTTCTATTTCTCGGTTTTTTAATTTTTCGGTTCTTCAATTTTTCGACTTCGATTTTTCGATATTTTAATTTTTCAATTTTTAAAATTTTCAATTTTTCAAGTTTTTAATTAATTGATTTTTCGGTTCTTTGACTTTTCAATTTCTCGATTTTAAAATTTTTCAATATTTCAGTTTTGGGAGTTTTCATTTTCTCGACTCTCCAATTTTTCTTCGATTTCTCAATTGCGATTTTTCAATATTTAGGTTCTTCAATTTAGGGGCTTTTCTATTTTTTACTTTTTCAATGATTAATTTTCGATTTTTAAATTTTATATTATTCAATTTTCGGTTTTTCGATTTTTTTTATTTGAGACTTAATTGACTTGATTTTGGGCTATTTCTCAGTTTTTCGAACTTTCGACTTCTCGACTTTTCCGATTTTTGATTTTTTGGATTTCCCAATTTCACGTCGTATACCAGTTCTGGAATTTTTCAGTTTCGCGATTTCAGTTTCGATTTCTTGATTTTCAGTTTTTATTTTAACTTTTCAATTTTTTTTTAATTATAGACTTTTGATTTCTAGGTTTCTCGATTTTCAGTTCTTCGATTTAAATTTTTAAATTTTTGAATTTTCAGTTTATTGATTTTTCAGTTTTCAGTTTCCTAAATTTTACATTTTTCGGCTTTTTGATTTTTAGATTTCCCGATTTTTCAAAATGTCAATTTTTGGGAATTTTTCAGTTTGTTTGTTTTTCTATTTTTTAATTTTCGAATTTTTCAATTTTTTGATGTTTCGATTTCTTGAGTATTTTTCAATTTTTCGATATTTTAATTTTTGAATTTTTTTAATTTTAGATTTTTATTTCTCAATTTTCAGTTCTTCGATTTTTTTCGAATTTTTTAAAAAGATTTTTCAATTTTACTATTTTTTTTTTATTCGATTTGTTGGCATCTCGGTTTTTAGATTTATAATTTTTTTCGAATTTTCGGTTTTCATTTTTTCCAAAGTTCAATTTCGGGAGTTTTCAATCAATTTCTGGACTTTTAAAATTCTTTCCATATATTAATTTTTCGATTTTTTAATGTTTTGACTTCGATTTCTGTTTCCAAATTGTCGATTTCTCAATTTTTCAGTGTTTCAGTTTTGGGATTTTTGAATTTTTTGATTCCTCAATTTTTCTTTAATTTATAGATTTTTTACTTTTTCGATTTTTCAATTTTTAGATTGTTAAATTTTATATTTTTCTTATTGTGAATGACACTTTATTTCGAATTGCTTTTAATACAGAGTGAAAAAACCAACCCACCTGAAAAAACTCCACCGAGTGAAACAACGTGATATAAATCCCCGAAAACTGCTGGCACAAAAACAACCCAATCAGGATCAACAAGGGCTTGTAGCCTGTGGGTTTAAGGAACGCTTTGGCTTTATAGATGGCCCCCTGACCGTGCAAAATAGAGGCTTCCAGTTTCTTCTGGTGCTCTCTCTGGAGTTGGGCCAGTTGCATTTCGGCCAGTGTGTGTGGCTACAATGGAGAGTTATTAGTTTGTGTTTTTTTTTGTGGGTGAGGTGTGGGGACTTACTTTGTTTTCTGGCTGGGGTTGGTACTTGTTGATCCACGCTAGGGCTTTACTGGCTTGCTCGACGCGCCCTTTGGACACCAGCCAGGCGGGACTTTCGGGAATGAACATTATGAGAATGCAGGGCATGACGGTGTAGCCGAGGCATGTCCAGGCCACCACGCGCCAATTGAAGAACCAGCCCTTGAGGAATGTGAGAACCATGCCCAGGGAGGCATACGCCGGGGCGAAGGAGATCAAGGAGCCTCTCATGTCCGCCCTAGCTATTTCTGTTAGGTACACAATAGCCGGACTGGTCCCCAAAGCTGTCAAAAAAAATACAAATTATTTAAAAAATTTTGGCGATTTTTGTGTTCTGATAACCTCTATAAAGTAAAAACCAGTGGCTTAAATAACACACTAACTTCATTTTTTTGAATTCTTCAGTTTTTTGTTCCTTCAGTTTCTCGATTTGCAATTTTTAATTTTTAAGTTTCTGGAGTTTTCAATTTTTAATTTTTCAATTTTCGGATTTCCAATGTTGCGTTTCAGTTTTTTATTTTCTTTATTTTTTCAGTTACTCGATTTTTCAATTATTCGGTTTTATAATTTTTGTTTCTTCAATTTAATTTTTTTTATTTTTCGCCTCTTCAATTTTTAGATTTGCGATTTTTCAATTTTTAGATTTTTCAATTTTTCGATTCTTTATTTTTTATTTCTTCAAATTTTTGATTTCAAATTTTTCGTCTTGGGCTTTTATTTTCTTGTCTCATTTTTCAGTGTTCCGACTTTAGTCTTTTTTTCAATTTAAATTTTTTCAATTTTTCGTTTCTTCAATTTTACGATGTCTCTCTTCAAATTTTAATTTGAAATTTTTGATTTTTAACCTTTTTAAACTTGGATTTTGAGCTATTTCGATTACTCAGTGTTTCGAATTGTCGATTTTCCAATTTTTCGAATGTTAATTTGTTCGATTTCCCAATTTTCCGTCACACAATAATTTTGTAATTTTTCAATTTTTACTCGATTTTTTCAGTTTCCGATTTCCCAATTTTTCAAAATTTCAATTTTTAGGATTTTTTCAGTTTGTAGCTTTTTCAATGTTTCGATTTCCAACGGGACAAAATACTTTTCGAAAAATAGTATAATCGGTAAATCGAGAAACATTGGAAAATCGAAAGACCAAAATTTTTAATAACCTGAACATCGAAAAACTGTAAAAACGCAATTTAAAAAGTCGAAAAATCGGAAGTTCGAGCAATCGAAAATTCAAAATTAAAAAAAATACTCTAAAAACACTAAATTTTTCGTTTCTTCAATTTTAGATTTATGATTTTTCAATTTTTCATTTTTTTTGTTTCTTCGATTTTTGGATTCAAAATTTCACGAGTTGTCAATTTTTAATTTTTCAAATTTTCGACTCTTTATTCTTCACTTTTCCAAATTTTTCGTTATTTTCTTTATTTTTACAATTGTCCAAGTTTTCAATATATTAATTGTTAATTTTTAATATTTTGACTTTTCGATTTTCGGCTGTATCCATTTCTTAGTTTTTCGAATTTTTGACTTCTCCATTTTTCGATGTTCCGATTTTTTATTTGTTCGATTTCATAATTATTCGTCATTAACAAGTTTTGGAATTTTCCAAATTTTCGATTTTTCAGTTATTCGGTTCAATTTTCGGATTTCAGTGTCCCATTTTATAATTTTTCTTCTTTTTGGTGTTTCGATTTCTTAATTTTTCAATTTTTCGATATTTTAGTTTTTCAATTTTTTTAATTTCAGATTTTTTGATTTTCAGTTTTTTTCAATTTTTCGATTTTTTAAATTTTAGATTTTTCGACTTTTTCCATTTTTCAAGTTTTCAATTTCTCAATTTTTCAACATTTCAACTTTTGGGACTTATTTAATTTGTGGATTTTGCAATTTTTGTATTTAAAATTTTTCGAGGTTTTACTCTTTTTTTCAATTTAAATTTTTTCAATTTTTCGTTTCTTCAGTTTTACGTGTCTCTTCAATTTTTTTTGTTTTAATTTGAAATTTTTATTTTTAACCTTTTTAAACTTGAATTTCGAGCTATTTCGATTACTTAGTGTTTCGAATTGTCGATTTCTCGATTTTCCAATTTTTCGATGTTCTGATTGTTAATTTGTTCTATTTCTCAATTTTCCGTCATACAAAAATTTTGTAATTTTTCAATTGCTCGATTTTTTAAGTTCCCGATTTCCCAATTTTTCAACATTTCAATTTTTAGGATTTTTTCAGTTTGTAGCTTTTCAATGTTTCGATTTCCTACGGGACAAAATACTTTTCGAAAAATAGTATAATCGGTAAATCGAGAATTTGAGAAATCAAAAAATTTTAAAAATTGGAAAATCGAAAGATCAAAATTTTTAATAACCTGACAATCGAAAAACTGTAAAAACGTAATTCAAAAAGTCGAAAAATCGGAAGTTCGAGCAATCGAAACATCAAAATTAAAAAAAATACTCTAAAAATACTAAATTTTTCGTTTCTGTTTCTTCGATTTTTGGATTCAAAATTTCACGAGTTGTCAATTTTTAATTTTTCAAATTTTCGACTCTTTATTCTTCACTTTTCCAAATTTTTTGTTATTTTCTTTATTTTTACAATTGTCCAAGTTTTCAATATATTAATAGTTAATTTTTAATATTTTGACTTTTCGATTTTCGGTTGATTCCATTTCTTAGTTTTTCGAATTTTTGACTTCTCCATTTTTCAATGTTCCGTTTTTTCATTTGTTCGATTTCACAATTATTCGTCATTAACAAGTTTTGGAATTTTCCAATTTTTAGATTTTTCAGTTATTCGGTTCAATTTTCAGATTTCAGTGTCCCATTTTATAATTTTTCTTCTTTTTGATGTTTCGATTTCTTAATTTTTCAATTTTTCGATATTTTAGGTTTTCAATTTTTTTAATTTCAGATTTTTTGATTTTCAGTTTTTTTCAATTTTTCGATTTTTTAAATTTTAGATTTTTCGACTTTTTCCATTTTTCAAGTTTTCAATTTCTCAATTTTTCAACATTTCAACTTTTGGGACTTTTTTAATTTGTGGATTTTCCAATTTTTCGATTTCCAACACGAAAAAGTGCTTTCAAAAAAATCGTACAATCGGTATATCGATAAATCCAGAAATTGACAAGTCAAAAAATTTTAATAATCGAGAGATCGAAAAATTGAAATAACGTAACACGATAAGTCGAAACATCAAAAAGTTTTTTGATTTTTCAGTTATTAAAATTTTTGATCTTTCGATTTTTCAATTTTTCGTTTCTTCAGTTTTTGGGTTTGTGATTTTTCAATTTTTCATTCTTCAATTTATAGATTTTGTAATTTTTCGATTTAAAATTTCTAGAGTTTTCAGTTTTTAATTTTTCGATTCTTTCCTTTTTCATTTGTTCACATTTTCGATTTTATTTTCTTTTGTTTTTTCGATTTATTTTTTCAAATTTTTCGTTTTTGTTTTCTTTATTTTCACAATTATCCAATTTTTCAATGTTTCGATTTTATATTCTTGTTTTTTTCAATTTCAATTCTTTCAATTTTTTGTTTCTTCAATTTTAAGATTATGCATCGTTTCGAGTTTAATATAAAATTTTAATTTTTAACTTTTTGTCTTATCCATTTTCAAATTTTTCGATATTCCGATTTTTCATTTGTTCGATTTCCCAATTTTTCGTCATTTTGGAATTTTTTCAATTATTCGATTCAATTTTCAGATTTCTTAGATTTTTAATTTTTTAATTTTAATTTTTTTGATGTTCCGATTTCTTGATTTTTCAATTTTTCGATATTTTACTTTTTCAAATTTTTTGATTTCTCGATTTTCACATCTTCGATTTCTATTCTTCCATTTTTTGAATTTCTAAGTTTTGGATTTTTCAGTTTATTGATGTTTCAATTTTTCGATTTTTTAAATTTTACATTTTTCGACTTTTTCGATTTCTCAATTTTTCAACATTTCAACTTTTGGGACTTTTTTTCAATTTGTGGATTTCCAATTGTTCGATTTCCAACGGGAAAAATGCTTTTCAAAAAAAGAATATCGATAAATCCAGAAATTGAGAAATCAAAAAATTTTAATAACCGAAAAATCGAAAAATTGAAAAACCTAATCCGAAAAGGCGAAAAAACGAAACATCAATAATTCAAAAAATTACGTTCTTTCAGTTTTTCGATTTTTCAATTTTTAAAATTTTTGAAATATCGAGTTATTAATTTTTCGTTTCTTCAATGTTTGGATTTGCGGTTTTTTTCGATTTTTGAGTTTCTCGATTTTTAGTTTCGATTTCTGTTCGTTTTTACAGTTTTTCGATTTTCCAATGTTTCCAAAATTTTTTAATTTTTGCGATTTTTAATTTTTCGATTTCTAATTTCTTTGATTTTTCAACTATTCAATTTTTCAGTGTTACGATTTTATATTTTTTTGTTTTTTTTTTTATTTTCAGTTTTTTCAATTTTTCTTTCCCTACATTTTTGAAGTTGCTATTTTTCAATTTTTCATGTTTCCTTCTCCAATTTTTAATTTTTTAATTTTGCGATTCTTTAATTTTTCATATCTTCAATTTTTCGACTTGCAGCTTTTGAAATCGGTTTTTAATGACTTCATTTTTACGATTTTTCGATTTTTTATTTCTTCGATTTTTCAAATTTTCGGAAAAAAAATTAAAAAATTGCAAAATTGTAACATTGGGAAATCAGAATGAAAAAACGGAAAGGTATAAAATAAACACTGAAAAATCTATAAACTGGAAATCAAGAGTTTGAAAAATTAAAGAAACAAAAAAGTTAAAAATCGAAAGATTGAGATACTTCAAAATTGAGGAAGTGCAAAAACAAAGGAAATGGAAAAACGAAAAATTGTGATATAAAATCGAGAAAATTAGCATGAAAAATGGGGAAATTAAAAATCATGAACATGAAAAATTGAGGAAACAAAAAATTGAAAAATCGAAAAATGAAAAATTTAGAAACTCAAGAACCGGAAAAATTGAAATTTTAATAATCGAGAAATTGAAAAATTGAAAAAACGTAACACGATAAGTCGAAACATCAAAAATTCAAAAAACTACATTTTTTTTAGTTATTAAAATTTTTGATCTTTCGATTTTTCAATTGTTCGTTTCTTCAATTTTTAGGTTTGTGATTTTTCAATTTTTCATTATTTAATTCTTAGATTTTGTGATTTTTCGATTTAAAATTTTTGGAGTTTTCAGTTTTTAATTTGTCAATTTTTCGATTTTATTTTCTTTTGTTTTTTCGATTTATTTTTTCTTCAATTTGTCGTTTCTTCAATTTTTGGATTTAAAATTTCATGAGTTTTCAACTCTTGTTCTTCATTTTTCCAAATTTTTCGTTTTTATTTTCTTTATTTTCACAATTGTCCAATTTTTCAATGTTTCGATTTTATATATTTTTTTTTTCACTGTCAAATCTTTCAAATTTTTCGTTTCTTCAATTTTAAGATTATGCATCTCTTCGAGTTTAATTTAAAATTTTTAATTTTCAACTTTTTGACTTCTCCATTTTAAATTTTTTCGATGTTCCGATGTTTCGTCATTCACAAGTTTTGGAATTTTCCAATTTCTCGATTTTTCAGTTCGATTGAATTTTCAGATTTTTAAGAATGTCCATTTTTTAATTTTTCTTTTTTTTTTTTGATATTCCGATTTCTTTATTTTTCAATGTTTCGATATTTTGCCTTTCAATTTTTTTTATTTCTCGATTTTCAGTGGTTCGATTTCTATTTTTCAATTTTTCAAATTTTTAAGTTTTGGATTTTTCAGTTTATTGATATTTCATTTTTTCGATTTTTTAAATTTTACATTTTTCGACTTTTTCATGTGTTCGTTTTTCAACGGCAAAAATGTTTTTCAAAAAAAGAATATCGATAAATCCAGAAATTGAGAAATCAAAAAATTTTAATAACCGAAAAATTGAAAAAACCTAATCCGAAAAGACGAAAAAACGAAACATCAAAAATTAAAAAAAATGTTTTTTCGGTTTTTCGATTTTTCAATTAAATTTTTTGATCTATCGATTTATTAATTTTTCGTTTTTTCAATGCTTGGATTTGCGTTTTTTTTTTCAGTTTCTCGATTTTTAGTTTCGATTTCTCGTTTCCTCAGTTCTTTGAGTGTCCACTTTTTCGATTTTGCAATTGTTCGTTTTTACAGTTTTTCGATTTTTCAGTGTTACGATTTAATATTTTTTGTTTTTTTTCATTTTTAATTTTTTCAGTTTTTCGATCCCTCAATTTTTGTATGTGCTATTTTTCAATTTTTCATGTTTCGTTCTTCAATTTTTAAATTTTCACTTTTGCGATTCCTTAATTTTTCATATCTTTAATTTTTTGACTTGCAACTTTTGGTATCGGTTTTTAATTACTTTATTTTTACAATTTTTCGATTTTTCAAATTTTCGGAAAAAAAAATTGAAATATAGCAAAATTGTAACATTGGAAAATCATAATGAAAAAACGGAAAGGTATAAAATGAAAACTGAAAAATCTATAAGCTGGAAATCAAGAAATTGAAAAATTAAAGAAGCAAAAAAGTTAAAAATCGAAAGATTGAGATACTTATAAACAGAGGAAGTGCAAAATCGAAAAAACGAAATTGTGTTCTAAAATGTAATATTGAAAAAATTCAAGAAATCGAAAAATCGGATAATTGAGAAATTCAAAAAGTACAAAATCAAAAAATTTAAAAATTGTAAATTCAAAAGTTAAAAATTTTGAAAAATCGAACAAACGAAAAATTATAAAATCAAAGGAAATGGAAAAACGAACAATTGTGATATAAAATCGAAAAAATTAGATTGAAAAATCGGGAAAATAAAAACCATGAACATGAAAAATTGAAATTATAAACTTTTGATATCATAATTTCTCGTTTTTCTTTTTCTTTCGATTTTACATTTTTTTCAATATCACAATTTTTTCAATTTTTCATTTTCTCGACTTCTAAATTAGTTTTACTTTACGCTCAAGAAGTATTGTAATTGAGTCCATTGGAAGACTGGCTACTTTTATGTATTCTCGACGTTTCATGACCCTTTCCGCTTAGGAAACCCACCACTCAAAATGACAACCCACCTGACGCCAACCCTGTAAGCAGCCGCCCAATCACCAACATGTGAAAGTTGGTAGCCATGGCGATCAACGTCCACCCCAGCACCCCAGGAATCGCTGCCAACTTAACCGTATTCAGTCTTCCTATACTGTCCATCACAAACCCACCGGTTATGGCACCGATCGGCACAGCCAACACTATCACACTCGCTGCAAAATCAAACGAGTGACATAAACCCACTTTACCACCCTTAGCAAAAAATTACCAATCCATGGTCGTTGCGCCGGGGTAATCGGAAACTCCTCTTCATCCAACTGCGGCAGCAAAATCCCAGAGAATGCCAACGCTATCCCCACCACTATATGAAACGACGCTGACACCACAGTCGCGAAAATCTGAAACGCTCTAATCAATAACTTGCATAGGGTCGAAAATCACCTACTTGAGGCAGCAGCGTCTTGATCGTCCTCCCCTCATACCGACTGAGAGACCGACAACTCACTATAATCTCGTGGAACTTCTCGTCCCGTTTTTTCTCTTCGATTATTGCTTTAGCGTTTTCTTCGGCACTGGAAGCGAAATTCGATACTTTTAATTAGATTGAGTGAATATTCTAGGTAAAAATAGCGGGTCAAGGCTTGACCTTTGCGCGTGTTTGTACGTTTTGTTGCTAATCACGTCATTTTCGCACAGCTGTACCCACAATTAACAAGTGTCGGCGACTTGGAACAGCTGACGAGCGCGAGGCAAGGGCAAGGCTGGCTAGATCCACTTAAAAATAATCCGGCCGAAATTAGCCGGTTACGAGTGTTAATGATGTTAAGATTTGACATTTTGAGGTTATGTTGTCAATTTTGACAAGTAGCAAAGCCGGGTTTACACTATAATTATGTATTATAAATTACTGCTAACGTTTTTATTTCTTTCTCTCGTTGACTGGTTTTTGTTGTCGGAACGTGCTGGTTTGCTTATTAAATGCATCAAGCGAGAAAATGTTGAACGAATCTCGTGAATTATTCATACTTTTTGACGTGGAAACTTGTTGCGGAGATCGGTATTGTGTTAGGACGGCATTGTGCTTCCTACTTCATACTTTCACAATAAGAGTTATTACGTCAGTAATTGCAGCTGGGTTTTTTTGGTTTTTATTAATGCTGGAAGCGGTTTTAAATTGAAAATGAATATAACGAACTTAACTGGATATAAATAAATATATATAGAGAGTCGTGAATGTGGAAATATTAATTATTACTACGACTATAATAAAAGCACATAAAACTAAAAATAACTAGTAGTGGATAATGGTCACAATGTAGTAGGAGATAAGGTTGGAACGTTGGAAATGTTTATTAAAAAGCGTTATCGGGGAAGTTATAAAATTGCATACATTTGTTATTGCTTTTACGTTATGTTATTTTTGAAATAATAAATTTATGGGTTTCGTACCAAGGTTGCATCGAATAAGTACGAAAAATAATTAGGATGTATTTTTAAAATTGTTAATAAAAATTGTCTCATTTCATTGGAAATTTTTTGGTAAAATTATTTCCGAGATATTTTCTTCAATTAAGATGAAAACAAATCTGGAAGATATGAAATCGTACATTTTTCATAGCACTTCCTTAATTATACACATATTATTTTAGAAGAAATTTGTTTTCGTTATTTTCGAAAAAAAAAGTCAAAAGTACTACATATAATATTTATAAAGGCACAACTTTTTTTGTGAAACTTGTTATTGTCATTTTGAAAAAAAAAGAAACTCAAAGTAATATAATATTAATTTATAAGAAGCCAGTCCAAAAAAAAAATGTTTAGAATTTATTTTTAGCTTCCAGATTTTTTTCTTGACGGTTTGATTAAAATTTCCAACAATCCACTTGTAAGGGGATTTTTCAAACTTCCAATTAAATATCTCAACAAACAAAAATAGAACAAAAAAATAACATAAGAATGTTGAGTAAATTTTGAATCATTTTCAAAATTCCAAACCCTTTTTTTCTTATTTTTGAAAAAAAAAAAATCAAAAATAATATAACATTTACACTCAGGCGCAAATTTAATTTTTCTTTTTAATTTACTTTTGTCGCTTTTTTAATTAAGAAACCAAATATAGAACAAAAAATAATGTAGAGTAAATTTTGAGTCATTTTTAAAGTTCTAAAAATTTTGTTCCCCATTTTTGAAAAAAAAGCTCAAAAATAATATAATAATAATTTATAGAACACACAGTAAACAAATTTTTAGAATTTATATTTGGCACTTTTTTAATTAAGAAAGTGGTACGAAATTTGTGCGTGGCTTCCAGAATCTTTCTTGAAGGTTTTATCAAAATTTCCAAAAATTCCGTTTTTAAGGGGATTTTTAAGATTTCCAATTAAATGTTTCAACGATCAAAAATATGTAGAACAAAAAACATCATTTTCAAAATTCCAAAATTTTTTTTTCGTTATTTTCGAAAAAAAGTCAAAAGTACTACATATAATATTTAGACTAAGGCACAACTTTTTTTTTGAAACTTGTTATTGTCATTTTGAAAAAAAAAAAGAAACTCAACGTAATATAATATTAATTTATAAGAAGCCAGTCCAAAAAAAAATGTTTAGAATTTATTTTTAGCTTCCAGATTTTTTTTCTTGAGGGTTTGATTAAAATTTCCAACAATCCACTTTTAAGGGGATTTTTCAAACTTCCAATTAAATATCTCAACAAACAAAAATAGAACAAAAAAATAACACAAGAATGTTGAGTAAATTTTGAATCATTTTCAAAATTCCAAACACTTTTTTCCTTGTTTTTGAAAAAAAAAAAAAAATAAAAAATAATATAACATTTACAGTCAGGCACAAATTTAATGTTTCTTTTTAATTTAATTTTATCACTTTTTTAATTAAGAAATCAAATATAGAACAAAAAATAGTGTAGAGTAAATTTTGAGTCATTTTTAAAGTTCTAAAAATTTTGTTCCCCATTTTTGAAAAAAAAAGCTCAAAAATAATATAATAATAATTTATAGAACACACAGTAAACAAATTTTTAGAAATTTATATTTGGCACTTTTTTAATTAAGAAAGTGGTACGAAATTTGTGCGTGGCTTCGAGAACCTTTCTTGAAGGTTTTATCAAAATTTCCAAAAATTCCGTTTTTAAGGGGATTTTTAAGATTCCTAATTAAATGTTTCAACGATCAAAAATATGTAGAACAAAAAACATCATTTTCAAAATTCCAATTTTTTTTTTCGTTTTTTTTGGAAAAAAGTCAAAAGTACTACATATAATATTTATACTAAGGCACAACTTTTTTTTTTGAAACTTGTTATTGTCATTTTGAAAAAAAAAGAAACTCAAAGTAATATAATATTAATTTATAAGAAGCCAGTCCAAAAAAAAATGCTTAGAATTTATTTTTAGCTTCCAGATTTTTTTTCTTGAGGGTTTGATTAAAATTTCCAACCATCCACTTTTAAGGGGATTTTTCAAACTTCCAATTAAATATCTCCACAAACAAAAATAGAACAAAAAAATAACATAAGAATGTTGAGTAAATTTTGAATCATTTTCAAAATTCCAAACCCTTTTTTCCTTATTTTTGAAAAAAAAATCAAAAATAATATAACATTTACACTCAGGCGCAAATTTAATTTTTCTTTTTAATTTACTTTTGTCGCTTTTTTAATTAAGAAACCAAATATAGAACAAAAAATAATGTAGAGTAAATTTTGAGTCATTTTTAAAGTTCTAAAAATTTTGTTCCCCATTTTTGAAAAAGAAAAGCTCAAAAATAATATAATAATAATTTATAGAACATACAGTAAACAAATTTTTAGAAATTTATATTTGGCACTTTTTTAATTAAGAAAGTGGTACGAAGTTTGTGCGTGGCTTCCAGAATCTTTCTTGAAGGTTTTATCAAAATTTCCAAAAATTCCGTTTTTAAGGGGATTTTTAAGATTTCCAATTAAATGTTTCAACGATCAAAAATATGTAGAACAAAAAACATCATTTTCAAAATTCCAAAATTTTTTTTTCGTTATTTTCGAAAAAAAGTCAAAAGTACTACATATAATATTTAGACTAAGGCACAACTTTTTTTTTGAAACTTGTTATTGTCATTTTGAAAAAAAAAGAAACTCAAAGTAATATAATATTAATTTATAAGAAGCCAGCCCAAAAAAAAATGTTTAGAATTAATTTTTAGCTTCCAGATTTTTTTCTTGAGGGTTTGATTAAAATTTCCAACAATCCACTTTTAAGGGGATTTTTCAAACTTCCAATTAAATATCTCAACAAACAAAAATAGAACAAAAAAATAACATAAGAATGTTGAGTAAATTTTGAATCATTTTAAAAATTCCAAACACTTTTTTCCTTATTTTTGAAAAAAGAATCAAAAACAATATAACATTTACACTCAGGCGCAAATTTAATTTTTCTTTTTAATTTATTTTTATCACCTTTTTAATTAAGAAACCAAATATAGAACAAAAAATAATGTAAAGTAAATTTTGAATCATTTTTAAAGTTCTAAAAATTTTGTTCCCCATTTTTGAAAAAAAAAGCTCAAAAATAATATATTAATAATTTATAGAACATACAGTAAACAAATTTTTAGAATTTATATTTGGCACTTTTTTAATTAAGAAAGTGGTACGAAATTTGTGCGTGGCTTCCAGAATCTTTCTTGAAGGTTTTATCAAAATTTCCAAAAATTCCGTTTTTAAGGGGATTTTTAAGATTTCTAATTAAATGTTTCAACGATCAAAAATATGTAGAACAAAAAACACCATTTTCAAAATTCCAAAATTTTTTTTTCGTTATTTTAGAAAAAAAAGGTCAAAAGTACTACACATAATATTTATACCAAGTCACAACTTTTTTTTTGGAAACGTTTGATTAAAATTTCCAACAATCCATTTTTAAGGGGATTTTTCAAAATTCCAATTAAATATCTTAACAAACAAAAATATAACAAAAAATAACATAAGAATGTTGAGTAAATTTTGAATCATTTTCAAAATTCCAAACCCTTTTTTTTGTTGGCCATTTTTGAAAGAAAAGTTCAAAGAATTTATTTTTTGCACTTTAATTAGAACGAACTTATTTTTGGGATTCCAAATTCCAAAATACTTTGTTAAGTAAAATTTGGCAAAAATAAGTTAAAAAAAAATTAACTATCCGTTATTATAAATATTCATCATTTTTTTACCATTTTTCCAAAATGGCAAAAAAAATGGGACCAAATAATCCATTTTGAACTGAAGCTTTACTTAGATACGGAATATCTCTAAACTAAAAATCTTTTTTAAGTAAATTTGTTTAAAACTGTTGGAACATAATTTTGCGATTGTGACGTTTTAATTTTTGAAAAATTAAAAAAAATGTCTGAAGGCCACAAATCATACAGTATTATAATATATCATTTTTGAACTTTTTTTTTTCAATAATAAGGAAAACAAATTTTTGGGACTAAATCCATGTGAACTGAAATTTTCTTAAATATTTTTTTTGAAAACAGGGAAACTAATTTTGGGTGTGATGTCATAATTTTTGAAAGATTTTGTAGAAAAAAGTCGGGAGGCCAGAAATTTCAAGACACCTTCTTAATTAAGGAAACATATTCAAAAAAAAATCTAAAAATCTCTTGGTATAAATTTTAAATTAGTGTCGAACTATTTTTTAAAAAATTGCGAAAAACTATTTTTAAAACTTAAAAAAGGCTCAAAATTTACTCTACATTCTTATGTTAGTTATTCTTTTAGATATATTTAGTTCGTGAAATATTCATTGCAAACAATTAAGAAATTAGAAGTTTCAAAAATCTCCCTTAAAAAACAAATTCTTTGGAAATTCACCGAAAAGTGTCTCAAAGCTTCAAACTTTCTTAATAATGGAAAAAGTTAGAAAAATAATTTGTTTGAAAAAGTTTTGAAACTGTCCCTTCGTCTAAATACATATGATATTATTTTTGAACTCGTTTTTCAAAAATAGCGCAAACGAAATTGTGTGAAATTTGAAAATGATTCAAAATTTAGTCAACATTTTTATGTTGTTTTTTTGTTCTATTTTTGTTTATTGGAATATTTAATTGGATGTTTCAAAAATCCCCTTAAAACGGATATTTTGGAAATTTTAATCAAATCTTCAAAAAAAAGATCAGAAAGCCACGCACAAAATCAAAAAAAAGTGCCAAAAATAAATTGTAAACATTTTTTTGGACTCTGTCTTTTCATAAATTAATATTATATTAATTTTGAGTTTTTTTTTTCAAAAATGGCGAACAAAATTTTTGGAACTTTAAAAATGAATGAGAATTTACTCTACATTATATTATTTTTTGTTCTAAATTTGATTGTTGAAATACATATTTATTGCAAGTTTCAAAAATTGCCCTTGAAAAATACAATGGGATATTTTCAACAAAGATAAAAAAAATCTGGAGGCCACAAAATCGCACAATTTCTTAGCACTTTCTTAGTTAAGAAAATCACAAAAATAAATTCTAAAAAACAATAAATTTGTGCCTTAGTAGAAACATTATATTATTTTTGAACCTTTTTTCAAAAATAACGAAAACAATTTTTTGGAATTTTGAAAATTATTCAAAATTTACTCAAAATTCTTATGTTATTTTTTTGTTCTATTTTTGTGTGTTGAAATATTTAATTGAAAGTTTGAAAAATCCCCTTAAAAATTGATTTTTGGAAATTTTTTGACCTTTCAGTTGCAAAATTAAACAGAAAAATTTAATACTCGAAAAATTATTGTAAACTCTTAAAATTCAAAAGTTGAAAAGTCGGAAAATTTTAAAATCAAAAATCGAAAAATTGCGGATTGCAAAAATTCAAAAGCAGAAAAATGTTTGATTTTATTTTTAAATCCAAAACTCAAAAAAAATGTAAAATGAAAATCAAGAAACAAAAAAAGTCGGAACATTGAAAAATTCTAAAATTGAAAAATTTGAGAAACAAAAAATTGAAAAATCGAAAAATACAACAAACCGAGGAATTGAAAAATCAAAAGTGAAAAAAACAACAATTATCAAAAAATGGAAAACTTAAAAATGAAAACTCAAAAAATTGCACAAAAATGCGAAGAAACAAAAAATTTAAAAATCCAAAGCACAAAAAATATAAAATGACAGTCGAAAAATTGAAGAAACAAAAACTTGAAAAATCTAAAAAAAACTGAAGTTGTAGAAGCAAAAAATTATTGAAAAAAGTACAAATATGTAGTAAAAAGGAAGAAATTGAAAAATCTTAATTGTCAAATCGAAAAATCGCAAAAATTGAGAAGCTGGAAAATTTAAAAGTTAAAATTCAAAAAATTGCTCGAAAAAAAAAATAAAAACCGTGCAATTGAAAAATTTTGAACTCTGAAAACTGCGAATTGAAAAATTGAAAAGTTACAAATCTGAAAAAAGTGATTTTTAAATCGAAAACAAAAAAAATTGCAAAATATGAAAATCAAGGAACTGAAAAATTGCACCAAAATTTTAAGAAAGAAAAGTTGAAATATGGGAAAACTACAAAGTCGAAATACTGAAAGAAAACATTGGAAAATGCAAAAGTTGAAAAAACCAAAAGTTATTGAAAATGGAAAAATTCTAAAATCGAAAAATTGAAAAATTCTAAAAATCAAGAAACCAAAGAATCTAAAATTTGGAGAAACAAAAAATTCAAGAATCGCAAAATTGAAATCAAAATCAAAAGTGGAACACCCAAAAATTACTGAAAAATTGGATAAATTGCCAAATCGAAAAATTGACGGAATGAAAATTGGAAACTCGGAAATTTAATAATAATAAGTCGAAAATTTGTCCAAAAATGCGAAGAAACGAAAAGTTGAAAAATCGAAAAATAGAACAAATCGGAAAATTGAAAAATCTGATGTGGAATAACCAAAAATTATTGAAAAATGGATAGACTGTCAAATCGAAAAATTACAAAAATTGAGAAGTTGGAAAATTCAAAAGTTGGAAACTTATAAATTTGAAAATAAAAACTCGAAAAATCGCACGAAAATTTCAAGAAACGCAACAATGAAAAAAATCGAAAATCGAAAGTTACAAATCAAAAAAAATTAAAAATCGTGCAACTGAAAAATTTAAAACTCTGAAACTATAAAGTCGAAATATTGAAACAAAAACTTGAAAAAAGTAAGTTTAAAAACCAAAAATTATTGCAAAATGGACAAACAGTAAAATCGAAGAATTGAAGAAACGAAAATTGAAAAATCGAAAAGTTTTTAAAATCGAGAAATTAAGAACTTAAAAAATCAAAAAAAAGACGGAAAATTGTGAATAAAAAAATTGAAGAGACGAAAATTGAAAAATCTTAAGAATGGAGAAACAAAAAAATGGAAAAATTGTAAAAACAAATGATTATTGTAAAAAGGACAGAACTGAAATTTGGAGGCTACAAAATCGCACAAATTTCAAAATAATTAATTAAAGTGGCAAAAATAAATTCTAAGAAAAATTTTGTTTGTGTTTGCTTTAAGAAATTTGGAGTTTAAAAATTCTCCCATAAAAAACAATTCTTTTTTAAATTTACCCAAAAGTTTATTTTAGGTAATTTATTGATTTATTTAAAACGGCATTAAATTTAGCTTTTACCGAACACAAAAAAATCTAGAACACCATGTACACGCCATAATAAACTTACCAGTAATAATATCAAACACAACACAAATAAAATCTGTAAACATTAGTCGTACAAATCTAAATAGCGCTAATACAATGACAAACCAGTTTTAAGAGGTTCGAAAAACGCAGTACTTTAAATCCACGATTCCACGATTCAGAATTAACATTTACTTATGATTTTTATTTCTTGTTCACACCCTGTATAATAAGTTCGGGGTCACTATACAATCGCAACCTTTGTTTTTACGTGAGTAGGCGAACTTTTTATCTAAAGCCGATTCCAGCCATCCAATCCACGATGAATAATTCATTAATAACATCCATCAAAAAAGTAAACCATGCGTGGGTTATTTTGCAACATCCTAAACCACTTGTAGACAATTTCAATAACAATAAAACCCAAGTGTGGCTTTCCATTTTGTTTGCTTTAGATCAGATTATCTAATCTCGGAGAGAAAAAAATGTGTTCAAACCCAGCGCTACCTATATCTGCATATAGTGCAGTTCATAAATTTCCACCAATAATAATAATAATTGGAATTAATCCGCGACCACGAAGCGATCACGTCCCAATCATTACGCCAATAAAAAAATTAATCAATTAAATTTTTACAAGCCCCAATTAAAATGTTTTCTCTAAGACCAGCCATGACCAGCACCAATTAAGCCGTCATTCATCACCCGACTCCGCCTCTTCAATTGAAGGAACTTACTGTAGACTAAAACAACTGGCACTGAAACAGACCAAACGTCATTACGATTACGAAGTCAACTCCAGCGGATTTTCTTACCTGATGGGGTCCATTTCGGAAATTCGAACTCAGGTACACTCGAAGCCGATAAACTGGAACAAGAAATCCATGACTTAACAAAATTCGGTCTTGCGTTGTTGCTACGCCATTTTTTTCGCTAAGTCGGACCTTGAACTTCCACAATCCGAAATCATCGCGTGCTGAGAACAGTTACTTATTTTTTCGCAGTGGCGTTTATTGTGAATTTCACGGTCAAGTGGGCTTTAATTGAGCGAGCGATGGGTGTTTTCGGATTCTGGGATCGCAGATTTATGTGGCTGAAGATCCAAGAATATTTACATAATTATCGTTTTATTTAAATTTTATTTTCGGTGTTTGTATGTTAATGTTTTTCGACGCATTGTTTTCGGTGACATTCGTAGTGATGAGGAAGTCGTGAATAATTTATCAAATAAATGGAATAATCGATAGAAGTGCGGCGATTGGTGGTTGGGGATCGATTGTCAACTTGTTATCATTTTGTTGAATAAAATCTAAATTGTGCAATGTAATGAAATTATTTTTGTTTAGTGGTCGTAGAAAAAATTATGTGCAATTATCGTTTGTGCACACGAATGTGTTTTATTTGTCGTGATTGTTATTCTAAGTCGGTCAGCTTCACGTGTTGTGGTAATTAATTACGCGAAACAGACGCTAGAAATTATGTAATTATGTCAATCGATTTAGTGTATGGTTTTTCCACACTGATTTTCCGAGAACTAAAATGTCTGTACCAGTGGAAAAATCTGTAACGTGAAAACAATAAATGAAAAGTATGTCGCGCTTTATTTAAGCTAATAATAGTTGTGACATATGCCTTTGTCAAATTAATACGATAACGTCTATTGGAGTCCATCAGGAAGTGCGGCGTAACCTAAATTTAACCAGAATGAATAAATAACGACATTGATTCTTTTCCATTTTAGTATAAACCCAAGTTTACTTTTTTAGCGGAACAGCCTGTATATTTTTACACATTTAGGTTCTTTATGAAAAAAAAAACTGATGTTAGATGCAAACTTCAATAAATTTGTTCTGAAGGAATTTTTTCCAAAATTTACAATTCCGCCATTTTTAAAAATTGAGGCTTCAAATTTTTCACCAAATTTTTAGTCGTCAACTGAAGGTTTACTTATTTATATAGGGTGACGCAATTTATAACTTGTCGGTTTTCTGATGTTCTCCAAATGAGACACCCTGTATTTTAAAACATTTATAAACTTGTTTCTAAATAAGTTTTTTTTGATAACAAATTTGTTAAGTTTTTTCTTAACAATTATTATTGTCAACTACAAAATAATTTGTACATGTCATTTCAAAAATATATACAGGATGAGTCACTGAGAGCGCCCCCTAGTATCTCATTTTATATTAGAAATTGAAAAAGTCAAAGGCCAAAATTGTACGATTTTTTGAGGGCCATATACCCAAATTATTTTCACTATACAGAGTGTCCTGTTTTTAACGCCCGAACAACTAGTTTTGGAATAGGCTATATTGTGATTGACCTCTTCTTAGGCGTTTTTGGGTCTTAATATACAGAGTGTTCAGAAAAAATATTGTTTCGTTAAGTATTTTGTATATTTGAAGTTCATAGTTGTTGCCATACAGAGTGTTTTATTTGAAAAAACTGAAATATTGATTTTTGAAAATTGTAACTTTTTAGAATTCTTCTATAAACACTCTGTATATTAAAGTTTTATTTAATGGATCTACAATAAAGCGCGTACCTGTGTTTATCTCGCCATAGACTATTACGACACAGATATAAAAAATAACATTAAGATTATAAAGCCTAGGAAGAGGCTAATGAGGATAGGAAAAATATATAGGGTGTTCTGTTTTAAACAACAAAAAACAGGAAAACAGCTAATTTTTCAAGTGCAAAGAAGAGAAAGTTGGTTTGATATTTTTTTATTATCCGTAATCCATTCAGAAAAAAATTAAAGGTTATACTAAAATATCCCATTTACTTTTTTTTAATGGAATATTATATATATTGTTATCTATTCTAATAAAGTTTTTAAATTCCCATGCGACGTTGCCACGTCATTCCAATTTTTTTTATTTTTTTAGCAAGAAAAGGCTTCACAAAAAAAATCGCTATAGGATTGTTTTAAATCTGTGCGCGCTTTATTATGGTATATATAAAATTAAGTCTCGGTCTATAGAATGTTTATAAAAAATTAATTGTTTCGTTATTATTGCCATTTTCTACTTTTTTAAGAAACACACACCGACACATTGAAAGAAAGAAAACAAAAACTAGATTAAGATGAAAGAATAAAATACAGGGTGGTCTATTTGGAAAAACTGAAATACCCATTTTTGAAAATTGTAACGTTTTAGATTTTTTATAAACACTCTGTACATTAAAATTTTATTTAATAGATACCACAACAATATTTCTTCAAAATAACATTGTGATTTTTTTTATAAACCTTTGAAATGCTAAAAAATCAAGGAAACTGGAATAACGTGGCAACGTTGCATGGGAATTGCAAAAATAAGCTAAGATTATAAAGCCTAGGAAGTGGATGATGAAAATATGCAAAAATATGGACGATGTTCTATTAAAAAAAATAACTTGTGTAGTATGCCTCAAAAACAAAACACTCTGTATAGTCAAAAATTACTCTAAAGTATGCTACTCAAGAAACCGTGAAACTTTGATCTCTAACTTTTTTTCTTTCTCTCATAATCAATGAAATATCGAGAACTGCCCTTACTGACACCCTGTATATCTGAGCATTTTTATTTTGGATAAAAAAAAAAACTACGACAAATTTTTCAGGTGCAAATAAGAAAAAATAGACTTTATAGCCACAATTTTTACTTTCGAATACCTGATGCGACGTTGTCACGTTATTCCAAATTTCTTCAAATGTTTAGCAAGGAAAAACTTTACAAAAAAATCACTATAGGGTGATTTTTAAACTTTGTATTTCAATATGTTACGGATATATAAATAAATGTGCGCGTTTTATTGTGCTTTAAACACAATTTTAATCTTAATATACAGAGTGTTTATAAAAAATAATTATTTTATAAGTGAATAGTTATTGCTATTTTCTTTTTTTAGGAGATATACATCCATTTTGAAAAAAAAAGAACAAAAACTGACTACAGCGCAGTAATTAAATACAGGGTGTTTTAAAATACAGGTTGTTTTCTTTGGAAAAAAACTAAAATATCAATGTTTGGAAACTGTAACCTTATAGAATCTTTTGATGAACACCCAAGGAAATTGGACTAACGTGGCAACGTCGCATCGAAATTGTAAAAATAGGCTAAGATTATAAAGGTTAGGAGGAGTATGATGAGAATATACAAAAATATAGAGGATGTTCTATGAAAAAAAAAATAATAATAACTTGTGTACTATGTCTTTGATCTTTAATTTTTTTCTATTTCATAATTAGTTAGATATCGACACCCTGTATATCTGAGTACAACAAATTTTTCAAGTGCAAATGTGAAAAAGTAGACTTTATAACCACTATTATTTTTGAAATTCTGATACGACGTTGTCACGTTATTCCAAATTTCTTCAAATGTTTAGCACACTTTATTGCGCTCTAAACAAAATTTTAATCTTAATATACAGAGTGTTTATAAAAAATAATTATTTTATAAGTATTTTCTATAATAATTAAAGTTGATAATTATTGGCATTTTTTATTTTTTATTCTTTTTTTTTTTGAAAATTAAACAGACTAGGACGCAGTAATAAAATACAATTTATTCGAAAAACTCAAATATCGATGTTGAAAATTGTAACGTTTTAGAATCTTTTTATAAACACTCAAGCAATTTGGAATAACGTGGCAACGTTGCATAGGAATTGCAAAAATAAATTAAGATTATAAAACCAAGGAAGAGACTAATCACAATATGTAAAAATAAATAGGGTGTACTATTTAAGAAATCTAACTTAAATGTTATATCTCAAAAACAAAATACTCTGTATAGTGGAAAATTATTTTTATGTACGCTACTTAAAAAATCATACGACTTTGATCTGTAACTTTTCCTATCTCTCATAATTAGTGAGAAGTCGAGGATCTCCCTTAGTGACTCACCCTGTATATCTGTATATCTGTGTATTTTTATTTTTACATATTCTGATTAACCTGTTGTCAAGCTTTATAACCACCGAATATTTTTGAAATTGCGATGCGACGTTGCCACGTTATTCCAGTTTTCTTTAAATCTTTAACAAGGAGAAGCTTCACAGAAAAATTTCTATAGGGTGATTTTTAAAATTTGTAATAAGGTGCGCGCTTTGTTGTAGTAGAAACAAAATTTTAATCTTAGTTTACAGAGTGCTTATAAGAAATAATTATTTTATTAAGAATTTTATAGAATTAAAGTTGATGGATATTGCTATCTTTTACTTTTTTTATGAAAATACAGGGTATTTTATTCGAAAAAACTCAAATATCGATGTTTGAAAGTTGTAACGGTGTAGAATCTTTTTATAAACACTTAAGGAATGTGGAAAAACGTGGCAACGTTGCATGGAATTTTACAAATAAATTAAGAATAGAAAGCCTAGGAAGAGGCTAATGAGAATATCTAAAAATATATAGGGTGTTCTATTAAAAAAAAAAAAACGACTTGTGTGTTATGCCTCGACAATAAAACACTCAATAGTCGAAACTTATTTGAATGTATGCTAATCAAAAAAACCATACAACTTTGGTCTCTAAATTTTTTCTATCTCTCATTATTAGTGAGAAATCGAAGTTCGCCCTTAGTGACTCACCCTGTATATCTGTGTATTTTTATTTTTTACATATTCTGATGAACCTCCTCTTAGGCTTAATAACCACCGTTAATTTTTGAAATTCCGATGCGACGTTGCCGCGTTATTCCAATTTTCTTCAAATGTTTCAGAAGGAAAAGTTTCACAAATAAAATCACTACAGGGTGTTTTTTAAAATTTGTATTCAGGTGCGCGCTTTGTTGTGGTAGAAACAAAATTTTAGTCTTAGTTTACAGAGTGTTTGTAAGAAATAATTATTTTGTTAACGATTTTATATAATTAAAGTTGATAGATATTGCTACCTTTTACTTTTTTAGGAAAATACAGGGTATTTTATTCGATAAAACTCAAATATCGATGTTTGAAAGTTGTAACAGTTTAGAATTTTTTTATAAACACTTAAGGAATTTGGAAAAACGTGGCAACGTTGTATGGAGTTGCAAAAATAAATTAAGAATATAAAGCCTAGGAAAAGGCTAATGAGAATATCTAAACAGATATAGGGTGTTTTATTAAAAAAAAAACGACTTATGTGTTATGCTTCGAAAACAAAACACTCTATAGTCGAAACTTATTTGAATGTATGCTAGTCAAAAAAAAACATACAACTTTGGTCTCTACATTTTTTCTATCTCTCATAATTAGTGAGATATCGAAGTTCGCCCTTAGTGACTCACCCTGTATATCTGTGTATTTTTATTTTTTACATATTCTGATGAACCTGTTCTTAGGCTTAATAACCACCGTTAATTTTTGAAAGTCCGATGCGACGTTGCCACGTTATTCCAATTTTATTCAAATGTTTAAAAAGGAAAAGCTTCACAAAAAAAATCACTACAGGGTGATTTTTAAAATTTGTATTCAGGTGCGCGCTTTGTTGTGGTAGAAACAAAATTTTAGTCTTAGTTTACAGAGTGTTTATAAGAAATAATTATTTTGTTAACGATTTTATGTAATTAAAGTTGATTGATATTGCTACATTTTACTTTTTTAGGAAAACACAGGGTATTTTATTCGAAAAAACTCAAATATCGATGTTTGAAAGTTGTAACGGTTTAGAATTTTTTTATAAACACTTAAGGAATTTGGAAAAACGTGGCAACGTTGCATGGAATTGCAAAAATAAATTAAGAATATAAAGCGTAGGAAGAGGCTAATGAGAATATCTAAAAATATATAGGGTGTTCTATTAAAAAAAAAAACGACGTGTTATGCCTCGACAACAAAACACTATAGTCGAAACTTATTTGAATGTATGCTAGTCAAAAAAACCATACAACTTTGGTCTCTAAATTTTTTCTATCTCTCATAATTAGTGAGATATCGAAGTTCGCCTTTATAGTGACTCACCCTGTATATCCGTGTATTTTTATTTTTTAACTATTTTGATTAACCTGTTCTTAAGGTTTATAATGCTCGTTTATTTTTGAAATACCGATGTGACGTTGCCACATAATTCCAATTTTTTTGAAATTTTTTAGCAAGGCTTGATAAAAAAATCGCTACAGAGTTGTTTTTAAAACTTGTGTTACAATATTTTGCTGAGAGATAAATAAAGGAACAAACTTTGTTGTGGTGTACACAATATTGAATCTTGGTATACAAAGTGTTTATAAAAAAAATAATTATTTTGTGAAGTAGTTTCTATATTTAGGTACAGTTGATAGTTATTGCCATTTTTCAGTAAACACTGTATATTAAAATTTTATTTAACTCTGCGTAAACTGTTGCAACTGTTGCAAGGAAATTGAAATAACGTGGCAACGTCGCATCTTTGTGATTCATCCTGTATATCTGTTGTGTTTTTATTTTGGAATTAAAAAGAACACGAAAACAACAGATTTTTCAGGGGCAAATTACTAAGATTTTTTTTTTTTTTTGTAATCAATGAAGAAAAAAAATTACATACAGGGTGTTTCATAATTTTTTTTTTGAAAAATCGGAAAAATTGTGTGGTTTTTTATAAGTTTGTGACGACGTACAAAAAATTAAAAAATAAATTTAACAATGTCAAATAAAAAAATTATATTGTACGACAGTTTGAAAAGCGAACACCCGGACACTTTCAAGTTAACTCGTTACCACTTACTTTTTCCTGCACACCAGTACCTCAACTGATAAGCAAGTTATTGTGTTACGGCGATAAAATCGAGGACAGCGATATTATAGTTATTTATGTATTAAGGGCATAATCAGGGAGATTGTGGCACGAGGGAATGTTTAAAGCCCGACGAAGGAGGGCTTTTAATTTCCCGAGTGCCACAATCGACAATTATGCACGTGGTACATACAACGTTTTATTCTATTTTAGTTTCTAAACTATTTTTAACGAAATATTGAGTATTTTCGGCAAGACTGTGTGAATTGTGCCGATGCAAATTTTAATACATAGCTGGCTATTATTTTGATGTTGTTATGGATACCACGTTGATTATTTGATAATTCGTTTTTCAAAATGTAAATTAAAGAAGCAGAAAACCTTTATTCAAACGAAAGTGTAGAAGAATTTGAAGTCGGTCAGGTAATGATTTGATAAAATATTATTTTTCCAACTTAAGAAAAACGTTGAATATCGAAGCGTGTTTGAATAGTTAATTGATTAGTGTAAATGAACAATCAATTGTTGCTTAGCAATTTTTGACAGATTTGTGCTAAAAAGACCAATTTAAGCCCGCATTTGGGTGCTTATAAATAAGATTATGGTTCTAAAATAGAATAAAGTTAATTTTAATGCACACTGCAATGCAAATTTAGCTGTTTTTATTTTATTTTAATTTTTTTTGTGTATTTAAATGTCACAAACAACCACACTAAATTAGGAGTTGATTAGCAATTACAGAACTTTGACCGTACTTTATATTTAAAAAGTACGAAACTCGTGCCAAAGTCATTGTTATTTTCGTAACAAAATTACGTTATACCGATTTTAAAATTAAAAAAAAAAAAATGTCGACAATTGTGACTATTACTTCAGTTCTTGCACTACCATTATTTCTGTTTTGCAATCTCTCTGCAAAACAGGAACAAACAATACTCAAACGCTGACATAACACTTCAAATTGCACAGCGCGAGTTTTTTCTTCCTCCCGAGTTCAAAAATCCGGCGAACCTTTCGCAAATCAAATTCCAATTAACTGTTGCATCACTCTCATTAAAAGCGAATCGAAAACCGCAAGCACCGAACAAAAACAAACAACGCTGGCGCAACCAAAGCTATACAGAGCGTTCGAAAAGTGCATACTTACGTCACTACGCTAACGCCAAAACACACACATAAGCGCACATCGAACCTCTACTCTCTAAGACGACCACGCTGCTAATAATCGAGTTTTCCGCTATTTCATACATCAGCTGGTGTCACGCTGATCCACATGCGTGTAGAGATGGGAGCTGCCGTCTGCACCCCCCTAGACGCCACGGCACGACCGCGGCTCGCGAGGGACACCTGAGGGCCAATCAAATCGCAATTACAGCGACAAAAGACGGTGTAGTCGCGGAACGGCGGTGGCGAGTCCCGCATCCATCTCTATCGGACTTATCGATTCGGATTTGTAGACTCGGGGACGCCGCTGTGCTTCTGGAATGGCTGTGAATTGGGCGACCTTGGGGAAAGGCAGTGGCGGCGGGGAGGGTGAGAATGTAGGGCGCACTAATTGAATCGATTGATTGCAAATATAATAATAACAATAATAATAACGAAGATTTATATCTTTATTTGCCACAGTTGTCTGCATTTTTGTCTGTGTCGTTTTATTTCTATTGTGCGCTGTAGCCCCGTCTTGTCGAAAATAGTCTACTTCCATTTTCGTGATTAAGCGATTCTGGTTCAGGTTTTTGCGTGTGGATTATTCAAATGATTTGATTATCGCCTGGGGGAATTATCGCTGGTTGGGTGTAATTTGCGGTTCCTTCGTGTCAGGTGAGTTAGATGTTGCATCAGCTAATTAATACGTTGTGGTTTATGTAATGGATTTGGAGGTTTATTGTTGCTGGAGGGGTTACCCATGAAGGGTTAATTTTGAAATACCGTGTGTGTGAAAAATCAAAATTATTATTTTTTTATTTTTTGCAAAATTTTCAGATCGATGTTTTGTTTGATGCTGAAACTAAGCTCTCAAGTGTGTACATTACGTAAAAGGATCGGGAAACCGGTAGTGAGATAAGCGCTTGCAAGCAGTGACGTAAAGTTTTATCTCGGAGCGGTGTTGGTTTTCGTTTGTTGATAGAGTTACTGGATCTTCGTGGAAATGGATAACTATCCAGCTGCTTTTTATTATTGTCGTTAATCTCTTTTCTGAGTTCTGTGTCAATAATATTATTTTTGGTAATTTTGTTGCTGCCGGAATTTACTAGGTAGACAAGCTCGTAAATAAATAAAACAGATATGTGGGATAGATAATCAACAATAAAGTTATTGTACTTTGAGCTTGCAATAATTGGATGCCGTATGGCTAATCTGTCTGGTTGAATCCTACTGCGGTCCTTAAAAAATTCCAAATATTAGAGTATTTAAATACTTAATTTTGTTGTACTCAGACATTTTAACCAAAAATGTTTAAGGTGAATTTTTCGATTTTGCAATTTCTCGATTTGCAGTTTTTGGTTTGGGTTTTTAATTTTTTTATTTTTCCAAATTCAATTTTTTCAATTTTTCGTTTGGGTTTTTTATTTTCTTTATTTCTTGAATTATTCGATTTTTCAATGTTTCGATTTTATAATTTTTCATTTCTTTTTTGTGAATCTTTTTAATTTTTCCATTTTGGATTTTTCAGTTTTCCATTTTTGGATTTTTCTATGTTATAGTTTTTCGACCTCACAATTTTGATGATTCTATAATTTTTCGATATTACAATTTTTGAGTTTTCCTATTTTTCGGTTCCATTCATTTTTTTTTCTTTCCAATTGTTCGATTCATTGATTTTTTCGGTTTTTGGTTTTTCAATGTTTCGACTTGCAAATTTTTTGGTTTTCCACTTTGTCGATTTTGCAATTTTTCATTATTTTTATTCCCTCAGTTTTTCAATTTTTCAGAATTTCAATTTTTCAATTTCTCGGTTTGAGTTTCTGGAGTTTTCAATTTTTAATTTTTGAATTTTTGGATTTTTAATTTTTTGTTTTTTCAGTTCTGCGATATGCTTCGAGTTTTCATTTTTAAATATTTCAGTTTTCCGATTTTCCAAATTTTGGATGTTTTAATTTTTAGATTTAAGTTTTCGAGCTGCCATTTCACCAGTTCAATATTTAATTTCTCAATTATTAAATTTTTTAAGTTTTTCATTTCTTCAATTTTTCGATTTGTAATTTTCCGTTTCGGTTTTTTTATTTGCTTAATTTTTTAAATATTTTGGTTCTTCAGTGTTCTAATTTTTCAATTTTTCTTTTTTCAATGAGAAATTTTTCAATTTTTGGGATTCCATTTGCAATTTTTCAGTTTTTAATTTTTCGATTTTTCAACTTTTAGGTTTTTTAAATTTTTGTTTTTTCAGTTTCTCAATTTTTACGTTTTTTCACGCAGTTTTGATGATTCTATGTTACAATTTTCGGGTTTTCCAATTTTTCAATTCCATTCGTTTTTTCTTCTTTCCAGTTGTTCGATTCATTGACTTTTTCGATTTTTCGTTTCTTCAAGTTCTTCGATTTGCAATTTTGGTTTTTAATTTTATTTTTTTTTTTTCGATTTTTAGTTTTTCAGTGTTTTGATTTTCTTCAGTTCTTCGACTCGGTTTTCCACTTCTTCGATTTTGCTATTTTTAATTTCTTTTGTTTCTTCTGTTTTTCAATTTTCCAAATTTTGAATTTTTTCGATTTGCAATTTTACGTTTCGGTTTTTTATTTTCTTTATTTTTTCAATGTTTCAGTATTTCAATGTTCTAACCTTCCAATTTTTTTTTCAATGTGAAATTTGCCAATTTTTGATTTTCCAGTTTTTCGATTTTGCAATTTTTTAGCTTTTTATTTTTCGATTTTTCGTTGTCAATGTTGCGATTTTTCGTTTTTTCAGTTTTTCGATTTGAAGATTTTTCGGTTTTCTACTTTTTCGATTTTGCAAATTTTCATTTTTTTGTTTATTCATTTTTTCAATTTTTAGATTTTGCAATTTCTCGATTTGAGTTTTCAATTTTTTGATTTGCAATTGTTTGTTTCGGTTTTTTATTTTCTTCATTTTTCGATTTTTCAATGTTTCGACTTGATAAATTTTTATTTTTTCAATTTAAATTTTTTCAATTTTTCCATTAGCTGAACAATCGCTTTTTTTTTTTTGTTTCTTCAATTTCTGGTTTTTGCAATTTTTCATTTCTTCAAGTTTTCGATTTGCAATTTTGGTTTTTAATTTAATTTTTTTTTTTTCGGTTTTTAGTTTTCCGTTTTTGATTTTCTTCAGTCCTTCGACTCGGTTTTCCACTTCTTCGATTTTGCTATTTTTAATTTCTTTTGTTTCTTCAGTTTTTCAATTTTCCAAATTTTGAATTTTTCAATTTTTCGGTTTGCCGTTTTTCGTTTTGGTATTTTATTTTCTTTATTTCTTCAATTATCCGATTTTTCAATGTTTCGATTTTATAATTCTTTGTTTTTCAATTCAATTTTTCCCATTTTTCCCATTTGCGAGTTTTCAATTTTTCATTTATTTTTTTGTTTTTTCTGTTTTTAATTTTTAAATTTTTAGTTTTCCGATTTTTCATTTCCTCAGTTCTTGGACTTTTTTTCGATTTCGATTTTTTGCTTTTTCGATTTTGCAATTTTTGTTTAGTTTAATTTGTAAACAGTACCCATAAGATTTTTTTTTCTCTACTCTGTAATTTCTCTGTTAAATAAATAAATATTTTTTTGTTTCTTCTGTTTTCAATATTTCAAATTTTGAATTTTGCAATATTTATATTAGAATTTCTTGATTTGAGTTTCTCGAGTTTTCGAGTTTTCATTTTGTTTATTTCTTCAATTATTCGATTTTCAACGTTTCGATTTTATAATTTTTTGTTTTTCCAAGTTTTAGATTCCAATTTTTTTGGTTTAATATTTCTGGAGTTTTCAATTATTAATTTATCAATTTTTCGATTCTTCAGTTTTTCATTTCTTCAAATTTGGATTTGCAATTTTTGGTTTAGGCTTTTTATTTTTTTTTAATTTTACAATTTTTAGATTTTTCAATGCTTCCATTTCATACTTTCTTGTTTTTCCAATTTCAATTTTTTCAATATTTAGTTTTTCAATGTTTCGAGTTTTCGTTTCCTTAGTTCTTCGACTTGCAGAGTTTTCAGTTTTCTACTTTTTCTATTTTGCAATTTTTCATTTTTTTTTGTTTCTTCAGTTTTTCAGTTTTCCAAATTCTGAATTTTTCAATTTGTAAATTTTGTGGTTTCTCGAGTTTTCAATTTTTCGATTTCCATTTTTTCAATACGTTTTTTTTTGTTCTTTATTTCTTCAATTATTCGATTTTTCACCGTCGATTTTATATTTTTTTGTTTTTACAATTTTAATTTTTAAAATTTTCCATTTGCGATTTTTCAATTTTTTATTTTTTTTTCTTCAATTTTTACATTCTGCAATTTTTCGGTTTAAAATTTCTCGAATTTCAAATTTTATTATATTTCAATTTTTCGTTTCTTTAATTTTTCAATTCTTATTCAAATTTTCGTTTTGCAATTTTTGGCTTGAGTTTTTATTTTCTTTATTTTTACAATTTTTCGATTTTTCAATGCTTCCATTTCATACCTTTTTGTTTTTTCAATTTTTCGATTTGCAATTTTTGAACTTTTCATTTTTTTCGATGTTACAATTTTTGGATTTTTCTATTTTTCGCTTCCATTCTTTTTTTCTTCTTTCCAATTATTCGATTCATTAATTTTTTCGATTTTTAGTTTTTCAGTGTTTCGATATTTTCGTTTCTTCAGTTCTTCGACTTGCAGAATTTTCATTTTTCCACTTTTTCGATTTTTCAGTTTTTGATTTTCCAATTTTTGGCTGACTTTTTGGCCAATTCTTCGAATGAAAAACTGGAAAAATTGAAAAATCGTAAGATTCAAAATTAAGAAACTTGAAAATCAAAAACTGATTTGCAATTTCACGAGTTTTCAGTTTTTAATTTTTCTAGTTTTAGATTCTTAGTTTTTAATTCTTCAATTTTTAGTTTCTTCAATTCTTCATTGCTTCAATTTTTCGATTTGCAATTTTTCCTTCATTTCGGTTTTTTATTTTCTTTAGTTTTGCAATTTTACAATTTTCAGTTTCTCGATTTTTAAAAATTTATATATTTAATAATTATAATTTTTTAAAAATTTCACATTTTCAGTTTTACGATTTTCGAATTTTTCAATTTTTCGATTCATTAATTTTTTCGTTTTTTAATTTTAATTAAT